TACGATTCTTAGCCCTATACCCAAGCCCCGAAAACCGAACCTGAACCTGCCGAGTACACGGATTTGAAGTTTGGGGTCCAGGAGCCCGAGAGCATGTAAAGACTGTAGATCCGAACATCCTGGGGCATTTTGGGGGACTTGAAACATCACAAGCCGTTCTGGCTGCACGGAAGCTGCAGTTTAAGCATGAGGGTTAGGGGTGCAGTGTTTGGGAGTTAGGTTCGGTGTGTGTTGGGGTCAAAACCTGGGGTTAAGGGTGTCGAGTGGCCTGGCACCGAAATTGAAAAAAGAAACTTCGGTTCGAAAGGTCTTGCTGAGGGTACTTCAGGGTGTGGGTGCACTTGAAATCGTGGACGATGCGACTGGTTTTGGGGCGCATGCAGTGGACTTTCGCCTGTCCTGCTTTGGAGTTCAAGGGTTTTGGTGTGCAGGGTCCAGGTTTTGTCTGCCATCTACGGCTGTTTGAAGAACGACCTAGATATCCTAGATGGAACCGTCAACCCTGTAGAACATCGACAGCTTGAAACAGTTAGTAATAGGTATTACGAGTGTGGTCGGTTAGCAACAAGGTTAGCAACAGAAGCAGTAGCGCGACTGAACAGCATGCCTATGTGGTACATCCCTGTCGCATGTGAGGCACGCGAGGTCGTGGACGATGAGGCCACCGGTGGTGCTTTTCCCCTCCAGGCCGGTTTCGTTGCCGTCGAGGGCAGTGTTTGGGTCAAGTTCAGGGTTTTCGGGGGTCTGTTTGTGGCTTTCGGGGTTCGGGATACGGGGCTGTTGGCTGGTTTCGGGGCATCTTGACTTCACACGGAGCCCGAGTAGACAAACGCAGGGCGCGATGTGCCTCCCGAATCGAAACACAGAATCATTTTCCTTTCAGAAGCAGAGAAGTTAACTTCAGTGCAGACTTCTCCACAACCTTCACCCCTACGACAAACCCAAGCTTCTACGGCGACCTCAAATCCTTAAGCCTTCAATAGCTGGCTTCTTGTTAAGGGATTTTAATCAAGTTACCATAAAAAAGTAACCATGTTATTTACTATAGACCCCCTATTATGGTATATAGCTTACATTACATTCCTTGAACACTGGGCTACGGGGGATCTCCAAGCCACCGCTCTTATCCGCAAGGTGGCGGCACGGGGCGCTTGCGTCAACGTAAGCCTCGCAAAGGCATCGCGAGAGGAAGACAAGAGGACTCTTTGGGTTTAGGACTTTGGGTTGTAGGGTTTAGGGTTTGGGGTGGAAAGATGTCGGAACAATATCTTTCTCATGCCCTCAAGGTAAAGGATAAGGAAAACTAGTACTACTCACCCTGCATCCATGTTCCAACCTTCTGGGGTTCACTGCAAGGGCCGGATCTAGGGCTTTAGGGGGTTGAGGGTTTTAGGGGGATTTGGTCGCTTTAGGGGTTTAACGGTTTTAAGGGTTGTGGGGGTTTTAGGATCTCAGAATTTCATGTTGGTTGAGCACCTGATGAACATTATTTTCTGCATGGTATTGTAGTGTTTTGAGCTGTGTGTCTAGCTTTTGGCGGAGCTGAGCTGGAGACTTGGAGTTTGAACGTGTGGCATGTGGGCCTAGAGCCCCGGTAGCGCTTTCTCGTCGTTGTTATTTGTTGGCGACTGCCGCCGCTCTTCTTTTCTGCTGTGTACTTTAGCTACCTTGTCCATCTGCAGTGATACTGTTCAAATGTTTCCGGCTACTTCCACAAGCGTTGGTTGGTGTCATGAGAACTGTGTTTCGAACAGTCTAGTTTTCTGGGGCTGGGCGACTCTGGTTTCTGGGTTGTCAGGCTTCGGGACTTCGCGGTTTGTAGCCGTCACCAACACCACCATAAAACAATGACCAACACCACGACCAAACCCACGAAACACATGACCAACAAAAATCTACAACCTGAAACTCTGCACTCCAATCCACCTTCAACTTGCAGCTTGAGTCCTCATCCTTCATTTTAAATATGCAGCGTAAGCGACAGAGCTTCCCGTGCGGTTGTATCCCAGACCTCCGTAAGCCCCTGAACCCTGAATCCTAAATGCTCAACCTTGAGCCCTAATCCTAAATCCTGACTAGCATCCTCAACCTCCCCCAGCTTGAAGCTCCAAAGCTCCAAAGCCCTCAAGCCGCAGTATGCTAAAGCCCTAACCCCTAGAGCCCTCTAGCCCTAAAGCCCTAACCCCTAAAGCCGTGATAGTAACCCGCATGTAGTCTCAAACCCTCATAGTTCCTAAGTCCTTATAACCCACAAACCCACCGCTGCGAGGAAGATCTTGCACTTGATCGCGGGAACTGCAGAGGAGGTTGGATGTGCAGGGGGCGAGTAGTGGGGTTCGGGGCTTAGGGCTTTCGGGGTTTTTGTTTGGGTCTTTTTGGGCGTCTGGGGCTTAGGATTTAGGGTGTTTTTTTCTCCTGGGCTTTGGCGTTGCGGGTTTTGGGTGTTGTGGGTTTAGGGCTGGGGTTTAGAGACGAGGGTTGAGGCTGAGGGGTTTCGCGGTTTAGAGCTGGATGGCAAGCCGAGCAAGGAATCTTAAGTGATCTTTCTGAAACCTAAAGCCACTAAAACCTAAAGCCCCCTAACCGCCCAACAGCACGAAAAAGCCAAATCCTGAATCCTGTTTAACACCAAAATCCCCCTAAACCCCCCAAGCACCCCAAAAGCGACGCAAGGACTGGGACCAGCCACCTCCTGAGGAGTGCGAGGCCTTCGACAGCATGAACGCGCGCGTGCGGCGCATGCACTTTGGTCTCAAGCTTGGCCCCCCCGTTTTACTTGGGGATCATTGTCGGATTTCCATAACGGTTTCGTTTAGGGTTTCTGTGAGGGTTTATAGACTTTGGCTTTGTTGGGTCTGGTTTGGGGCTCAGGGTTTCGGCGCTCCGGGCTTGCACGGTTGGTTTGAAGCTTCAAAAGGTTGAAACTCGCAGGTTTGAAGCTGAAAAGTTTTACACGTTGATTTGGTCAATCTTTGAAAGCTGGCGGAGTTCGAAGGTGTGGGCATCTTGGTATGCACAAAGGAGCTGGCATGCCCTAAACCCTCAACCCTAAACCCTAAGACAATTGGCTCGCTGCGAAGATTATCGATTCGAGTTCCGCACGTGTCAAACACGGTTCCCCCTAAACTGTACTCCTGCACCGTAACCCTTCAAGCCCCAAGCCCGAAAGCTTGGAAGTAGCTGGGGCTTGGAGACTATGCCGACTATGGGTTTAGTCCACCTAATCTCCAAACCTTAGCTACTTGCTACGCCAAGCGTTCATCCCAAGCCCTTCAACACCACGTCCCAAAGCTTTTGTCTTTCAGCCCTATGTTCTCTTTTTTAAATCACATGATCTCATCCCCCAAACCCAAAACCCGAACTCCGATCTTTGTCATTATACCTCCCTATAAGGAGCCCTCAACGCCTTCTCAAGAGACTATGTTAAAGCCCAAAAGCCCTAGACTCTCAACTCTCCACATAAGCTCTCAATCCTAAGCCCTAAACTCCTAAGCCGTACGCCCTAAGACCTCAAACCCTAATCCTCTTCCCCTAAACCCTAAACCTTAAATATCCCTTCCCCTAAACCCTAAATCTCAAGACCCTAAACCCCAAATTACACCCTACCCCCTAAACCTTAAACCCGAAACCCTAACCTCCAGACCCCTAAACCCTAAACCCGAAGACCCATCCTCTAAGTAGACCCAACACCCTAAACCCAATAAGTCCCTTTTAAAGAACACAATAGATCCCTTTAAAGAACCCTATAGATCCCTTTCAAAGAACCCTATAGATCCCTTTAAAGAACCCAATCGGCCCAAGGTTCGCCGCTGGGGCGCTGTACCGGGCCGCGCTTCAGAACGACGCGGCCGAGCTGAAGAGGCCGCGTGGTTTTTAGGGCTTCCAAGGTTGTAGATTTAGGGGTGTAGAGGTTTAGGGTTTAGGGTTCAGGGGTTACGGGTTTGGAGGTTTGGGGCTTTAGGGGTTTAGGGTTTGGGGTTTGGGGCTTTAGGGGTTTAGGGTTTGGGGGTTTAGGGTTTCGGGGTTTAGGGCTGAGGGCCACCAAGGCGGGTAGGACCAAGGATGCCTAATGCAAGGACTGTTGGACTCCGTGAGTTTCCGCAACACCCTGAATGTAGACCTCTGATCAACAAAGCACGCTATACGTAGACATTCCAGTAGAGTTCCTGATATGAGGGCCCCAAACCCTGCATATCCTTTGTTTTCTTTAGCCCCCCAAGGGCATTACACCTCCGGTTGAGCGTCCAGGCTTTCATGCGTTGTGTGAGGTGATTTCAGAAGTGCCGGTGCTTCTGGGATTCTGCGGACCTTTAGGTTCAGGGTTTAGAATGCAGGGTTTGGGTTTGGGTTTGGAGTTTAGGGTGTGGCGCTAGAAGTGAGGTTCCCGGGTTTGGAGTTTGCTGTTCAGGGTTTCGATTGGAGCCTTTCGGCAGAATCATGACGTGCTTCGTATTGTGCTCTTCTTGGGTTCGTCTTTTCCGCCAGGCCTTTTCAGGTAGTTTTGATGGTTTAGGGGTTTGTCGCTCTCAAAATTTCGTGGTTCCTCCTGAGTGTCCCTCTGTGTTTGGACATCCACATCAGCGGCCCGAATGTTTTTCTTTTAAAGCGGTGGAGCCGTATCTATATACCTTGAGGGTTTAGGGTTCAGGGGTTGTTTCTCCAAGCAAGTTCGCGGTTCGAAGGCCTTGACGATGGTTTCTCCCGCTGCCAACTCAGGTTCAAGGTAACATGGACATGCATGGTATCCTACATGAGGGCACCCGTTTAGGTTCTGCATGCAGAGGGTCGGAGAGGATCCTGACCCAAAGTTTTGAGGTCGGTGTCCAACCGCTGCCACACCGATACCATGGACCCTAAGTCCTAAAAGCATGTAAACTCCAAGACCATGAACCCTAAACCCCCAACCCTAAGCCCTAAACCCCTAGACCATAAACCCCCATCCCTAAGCCCTAAACCCAAAAATCTACATCTACAAGGGGCGTGAACTTGGACCGTCGGCCATGGCTTTTGCGGAATACTGTGATGTCCTCTCCTTCCTTCAGGTGGACCTTCAGGCTCGGTAGATCACGTTTCAGGGGGCTTGAGGGTTTAGGGTTTGAGGTTTTAGGTTTAGGGTTTAAGGTTTAGGGTTTCGGGTTTAAGGTTTAAGGTTCAGGGTTTAGGGTTCAGGTTTAGGGTTTAGGGGGCTTGAGGGTGTCGGCCCGGTTTCTAGCTTGATTTTCTTCATACCTAAGCACCTGTGTGCCTGTAGTCTATGCCCTTAGCTTTGCCACGCATCAGCCGGCAGCCCTCTCGAGCCAAGAGACTTTGAGTCAGAAGCGACATCGTAAACTAGCCAATGAAGCAGAGTATACGAACACTCCCGCCAACACCCAGCTGTCCCGGGATGCATGCATGCATGCATGCAGGAATTGCTGGACTTCTGTCTGCCTGTCTGTCTGTCTCTCTGTCTGTATGTGTGTATGTATGTGCCTGAAATCGTAACCAGGAGGTGTGCCTGTCGTTTAGGGGCCCTTGCAGTCCGAAACCTCCCGGCACCAAAGCGAACCCTCCGAAGCCCTCGAGCGTGATACTAAGCCAGAAAGGTAAAGGGGATCAGGGGGGTGGGGACAGGGATGTTTGGGTTTCGGGTTGCGGATGTTTGCATCTTTCGGGGTGTTGTTGGGGTTCAAGCTCTAGGGGTTGGAGTTTCGGGTTGTAGGAGCACAGGGCTCGCAGGTGTGGGTTAAGGCTTTGGATTACGGGTGCCTGCGCTCTTCACCCTAAACCCTAAACCCGCAACCCTTAACCCTTAAACCCTAAACCCTCAAACATAAGTCCTAAACCCTAAAACATAAATCCTAAACCCTGAAACATAAATCCTAAGCCCTAAAGCATAATCCTAAGCCCTAAAACATACATCCTAAACCCTAAAACATAAATCCTAAGCCCTAAAACATAAATCCTAAACCCTAAAACATAAATCCTAAGCCCGAAAACATAAATCCTAAGCCCTAAAACATAAATCCTAAGCTGAATCCCCAAAGCCAAGGTGGCGAGGCTCAGAGAGACTTTTCTGGCTGAGCAAGCGGTGCAGCTCCCACTGCTTGCGCGAACGGCCCAGCATCTGGGACCATGGTTTAGGGTTTAGGGTTTAGGTTATTTTGAAGGCCTTGTAAGGGTTTCCTAGGTAGCCTTGAACCTTTTTGGGGCACGATTTTGGGTTTAGGGTTGTTTAGTGTAGAACCTAGTAGTAGAGTAGGTAACCTTCAGCTTTTTGGTGTACTTTCATCCCAATATACTGCCAAAGGTTGACCTTAGTTTGCCAGGATGCTGGACAAGTAGGGTTTTCAAAGAGCTCTGTAAGGTTCCCTACAAGCGATCTCATTCTAAACATAAGGGTTCCTGTGAGGGTTCCTCTTCTTGATCATCCTGCTGCTTGGAACCCCAAAACCCCTAAACCTCCAAAACCTTATCCCGTTTCGGGAAGCCCCTTACCCTTCATTGGACTTAGTAAGTAGGGTTACAAATACCATAGCTACCTTATGTTACCTTGCGGAGAAGCTGAGTCCAATGATCCTCTAAGTAGGGTTGAATAGGGTTCCCTTAACCCCTACAGCCCTGAGGCCGTACGCCGCTAACTCCAAAATCCGAGGGCCAGGTCTAGAGCGGGCTTCACTTAAGTGTACACTATAACCTCCATGTAATCGCCATTGCCCAGAGTCACAAGAACGCCCAAGTAGGGCTTAGGATCCGGGGTTCAAGTTCATAAGCTTGGATTGTGAAAGCTTTAAGATTACCATTTGCCATGTGCGATTGAAGCCATCATGGGCGAACAAGGTAGGTTTGGAGAAATGCCCTGCCCGCCAATATTTAACTTCACAAGGGCGCTGGGGGTTTCGTCCCTGCGCTAGCAACCAGTACTGAGGACAGTGTCGCATATGAGAACTTGGCACGTTCAAACATCAGTACACCCTAAACCCTAAACCGTCCTTGATTAGTTTCTTTTCTGCTGTACGGCCCGGAACTCGTAGAAGCTGAGCCCCAAACCTGAAAAACGGACCCGAAGCCCCAAACCCAGAATTTCTGCTCAGACCAGCTGCAGGTTCTGGGTTTCGGTGTCCCGCCCTAATCTCCTGAACCCACTTAGGGTTAAGGGTGTGGGCTTTCTTAACCTTGAATTCCTACTTAGAGGATCATGGGACTTAGTAAGTAGGGCTATAAGTACCTTAATTAAGGTTATAAGTAGATATAACTATAGTTACCTTACTTCAAAGCCTACTTACTAAGTCCCGTGATCCTCTAAGTAAACCCTGAGTCGACTGAGGTACCTGGTGAGTGCGACTTACGCCTGCCTTTTGCTGCTCAGCGCTGCCCTGCTGATTCGTGGCCTACCGAGCCGGGCCCCGCAGGAGGCGAGCGAGCAGAAAAGCTGTCCCCCGAGCTGGATCGTGTCCAGGCCTAAACTAAACTACAAACATTATGAGTATTTTTGGCATTATAAACCCGTGTCTTGTGACCTGTGTTGGCATTTTCTAGAACGCCAGCTTCAAGAAGTGTGCCCCACACCGCAACCCTTACCCCAAACCCACAGCCCTGAACCCTAAATCCTAAGCGCCACCAGCGATTTGCTTTAAACACGCGCCCGTTTTCCGGATCGCCCAGGTCTTCCTGGGCATCATCTACACCTTCACATACTTTACGACCGACCAGTATGTGCCAAGCCTGCCACAGATGAAAGTCGACTTGGATGCTACTCAAAGCCTGATGAGCCTCACCGTGCAGATGAATTTCATCGTGGCTTGGTCATTCGTTAGACTGATTTTGCACAGGAAGCACCCCTGGATTCTTGAGGAACTTGTTCTAAGCTCCCGCGATAGTCATCTAATTATGTTAAATACTGGGGTTTCCCTATTGTGGTAACTTAAACCCAAACGCAAAGTAATGGTTTCCGATTTGTGGTAACTTAAGCTAATTTCCTTGACACGAACCCGGACGCAGGTCAAGGCCCTCTTTGGACTGCTTGCAGCCAGCCTCTCCGACCGCATTGGGCGCCGACCCGTGCTGCTCTTCTGCCTCGTCCTACTGAGTCTGGCAAGCTTCTGAGTCCTTGTTAAGGAACTTTATGTTCAATCACCATAATGGTGCTTTTTAAGGGTGCTAAAAAGGCTTTCAAGGAACTGTTTTTGAAGGTACCATGATTCGGATGTAAGGGTTTTGGTAACGCGGTATCTTGCCTTAAGTTCCCTAAACCCTAAACTCCGAACCCTAAACCTTAAACCCTAAACCCCTTAAACCCTAAACCCTAAACCCAAAACCCCTAACCTTGCCTTAAGTTCCCTAAACCCTAAACCCTAAATTCTATCGAAAAGCCCAGGCTTCTGCTGCGCATGCGCCGGGCGCATCGAGTGGTTCTTTGCTGCGCGGGTTCTTCAAGGAATCGGCGAGTCGGTGGGATCTGCACAAAAAAGGGCGTGAAATAAGAGTAAAATTAGGGTTCCCTAAAGAAATAGAGTATAGAACAAAGAAAAGCATGAATACGAATAATACGTTTCAGTAAGCTTCCCGAAAAGAAAAAATTAGAGTATAGAACAGAAGGGCCTCATGAAATTATTGTCGTGTTTATTAGGGTTCCCTTAAATACATATAGTCTAGAACAGAGGTCATCCGAAACGCTCGTCTGAATGTTTAGGCCAGGATGCTATGATGCTATGCTTAGTTTGGGCTTGTCACTATAGGGGCTTTCTTCCCCAAGTGCAGAGACCCAAATGTTTGGGCGAGGGTTTGGCGTTTAGGGGTTTGAGAGCTTCGGGTGTAGGGTTCATAGGATCTACTAGGATGCCCAGCAGTACCCTAATTCCCTTTTTGTAGTCCTAGGTTCCTTATAAAGTTACCCAATACCAAAAAGGGAGCCCTTTTTACTCCTAGGTTGCTGGGCATCCTAGTCCAAGGTTTGGTTGCTTAGGGTTGGGGGCTTTAGGGGTTTCAGATTTTGGGAACCTTGATCTCCGAAGTCCCGAAACCCCTAGAGACCCTAAACCCTTAACCCTATAGATCCCTTTAAGGAATCCTAAAGGAGCCCTTTAAGGAACCCCCGAGAGCCCAAAAGGTGGAGCCGGTCCTCTTCGCCATCGTCCGCGACTACTTCGCAGATCCCAGAGAGCGCTTCGGGATCGTTTCGGTGCTGCAGGCGGGTTGGGGCTTTAGGGAGTTCTGCGAGTTTGGTTCGTTTCAGGGTTCTGGGGGAGAGCTTTTGGGGTTTAGGCTTTGGGTTTTTTTTTGGATTTGGTTCGGGTTTCGGGCCTAAGTTCAGGGTTCAGTTTCTACACTTTAGGCTTGACTGGGCATCCCGTGCCTTTTCGTTTTACCAGGGCTTGCTGGCGGGACTGTTGAGGGTTGCAACTTCGTGGCCTCATTCTGGACTGTCCCTTGTGGATTAGGGTTTAGGTTAGGTGCTGCCCCCATACAGTAAGAGTCTATAGTAGGGCTACTATTAAGGTCCTAATATAGTATATCTATAATATTAATATTATTCAACTATTACTGAGGGGGGGCCGTACCCAAGGTTTAGGGTAATGTTGGAAGATCTTCCGCTGACAAGTGGAACTCAGGGTTTGATGCTGGAGGGTTCAGGATTTGGCTTTGTGCTTCTTGGAACCCTAAACCCCAGAATTGCTAAGTGTATCCGCTTAAGTCATGGTCCCCGATTGTACCTGTACCATGGCATACCCCCAAACCCAACACGATTCTAATTAGAAAGCACCCGTTCTGCAAGCCCTCAAACCCACTTCAGGTGATGTCCATCTGCGGCATGCTTGTTGCACCCTGCGCTGGTGGACTTCTTGCAGAACTGTCTGGCTGGCGAATGTCCTTCTTCATACTTGCAGTTATCTGGGGCTTCTGGGTCCTTGTGCAGAAGCTTCTTTTGAGGTCCTTAACTGGGTTATCTTGTAAATACGATGCTTTTCGTTGCGTCATAAACAGTACATGTTATGCTTTCCTTACTGAAGATAAGAGTATTCACCACGCTTTCCCTACGGTCGCAGCTTCATGAGGCTCCTTGGGAACAGTAGAACCCCGTAGTCGAGACATTTTGTACATCATGTGCTTTTCCTTAGTTCAGATATAAATAGTATATGCTTCCCTTACCGATGGCCGCTTTAGAACAGCCCAGGCTTGCTTGCCGCCTATGCCTGGTGGACCATGGTGGAGAGCTGCCACGAGGGGGAGGGCGAGAGCGTCCTAAAGGACTTGTGGCGCATTCTGGGGTTCAAGGTTTATTGGATTTTATGGGCATCTATGGGGTTTTGAGTTTCAGTGGTTTCGGTTTGTTAGGATTATAGCGTGTATAGGGTTTCTAAATTAAGGTGGGGTTTACAAGTTCAGGGCTTAGCGTTTGGAGAGTTGACAGAGTTGAAAGGGTACAGGGCTCATAGGGCTTAGATTAGATGGTTCTAGGGTGTGTAGGGCTTTGGGTGCAGGACTTGTCTCGCATTCTGGATCCACAGCTTCTATGCTTGCTGCTCACGCAGAGCTGCATCATGGGAGGCCGGCCCTGGGTTCATGATTACGACAGGATTCTTAGTAAGGACTGGGGCCACGGATCCGTATGATAGTCCATCGAGGTCGTAGGCGTCCTTATAATCAGATCACAGACGGACCCTGGAACGCCAGCGGAAACACAACGTAGCTCGGATCTTCCCATCTTCTTGGGAATCCCTAAACCCTAAACCCTAATCCCTAAACCCTAAACCCCAAACCCTAAACCCTGAGTTTCGGAGTAGCTCGAGGCTGTCTGACCTTCAATGCCAACTCGAGCTACTTCACGCAGGTGACACTCGGGGGATCTGTGATGATGTCGGCTTACGTGATGCTGACTTTCGGGGCATCTGGGCCCTCTTTCAGAATCTGACTTTAACATAACACAACAGGGATCTATCGAGAATAAGTTGCCTTCTTTGCTGATGTAATAGGTTTAATAGAGAGGGGACATACTGAAAACAGCATACCTTCCTTACTAGGTTCGCCTAAACCCTTAACCCTAAACCTTAACCCTGAACCCTAGACCTTAAGCCCTAACCTTACTTTCCATAATGCGAGCCCAGGCATGCAACAGCCTGGGCGCGCTGGTGACGGGGAACTGCTGCACCGGAAGCATCTTCAAGGTCCCCAAAGTTTCAAAAAGTCCTCTAAAACCTTAAAGCCCTAAAGCTCCAAAAAACCCTAGAGCTCTAAAGCTCTAAAACCTTAAACCTCTAAAGCCCCAAAGCTCTAAAGCTCTAAAGCCCTAAAGCTCTAAAGCCCTAGAAGCCTATACAAACCCTAAAAACCCCTCGAGGTCTCCAAAATCTCCCTGACGCTTCTGCTACTCGCGGGCGTGATCTCCATCCTGCTGGAAGAGCCGCTCGTTCCGGAAACTTACCTCTTATCATTATAACTACTATTACTACCATTCTTCCATTCCGTACTAACCAAAGGTAAAGAAAGAGGCCATGCGTGTTTTGTTTCCGGCCGCACCTCCTCGCTTTTACACAGGATCATCCGAAAGCCTTTGGCTGGGTTCTGTGGTACCGTACTTTAGACTTTTATTCAGACCTGATCCTTGAAGGAACGATTGTCAAACACCTGTTTGTGCTCTTTCCCCTGGGTTGCACGAGCCTACCTCCACGATGGTGCAACCGGTTCCACGGAAAGGCTCAGGATCAGCAGCGATGGGCAGCTTGTATGTTCATCATGCACATGTGCACCAAGGGGCGCGCCATCGGAAAGCTATCTGGACAGGTAGTGTAGCACTGCTTCCTTTTCTCCGGGTCAGTCTACCACACGTAGTTTGCAGCTACGGGGATGTTGCAGTGTTTCTTGCCCAAGCGCGTGCTTTGTTAGCTACGCTTGCAGTATTGTGCGCAAATTTTGTCAGTTGCGTGCATGCACATGGAGGGGACATCATGGCTGTGCTGAGTGCAGCTGTAATCGCTGTGTTGTCTTCCTGGTTGGGGTTGTTCCTATACGGTTACTGGTTTGCTGCCGTTGTCCGGGTTTCGCCAGCAAGGTGGATTGGTCATCGCAGACACAGGGGTGCCCGTAGGGGATGGAGAATGCGTTTTCACAGCCGCATACAACAGTCGCACATGCCGCACAGGGTTGCCGGAGATCGCAGGCCGGGTTTGTTTCGTAGCATGCGGGGTGGTGGGGGATCGGCCGCCACAGCAAGACAACGCTCAGAGCGAATGATCTTGGAGGGATTACAAAAGCTTCTTAGCTCAATCGAAGGTTGTGAGGCCCCTGCACAGGAATCAGGCTTGCTCGGTGCTCTGAAACGCTTGGTTGCTCAGGCTCCTTGTGAGGCAGAACTCCTTGTACAACTCAAAGGACTCGTAGCCAGCTACAGTGCCAGACTCGAGAACTCAGATGCGCACTCACCCGCTGCACCACGTCATTGCACATCGTATGCTGATGCTCCTTGGCATGCGAATGCACGTGTTGGGAAAGGCAAAGGTCCGCAGGAGACGGTTGCCCCAATTCATCACGAGGCGGAAGCCGACTGGCAAATCAAGGGGCGGCGTAAGACCTTCAAGGAAGCACTTGTACTTGGCAAGGGTGCTGCAGCAGGCAATGGGAAAGGTAAATCAAAAGGCAAGACGGTAGGGATTGCCACCGGACACCATCAGCCACAGGGTAGGTCTGCACCAGCGGAAGTGTCACATCCCCCTGAGTGGAGAGCCCGCCCTGGGGATTTCAAATTTGAGACGTTGCACTTGAGTTCACATCAGGTCGGGGATGAGCTTGATAAAGACCCTTTGAAACCAATCCTTTGTCAAACTGGATCCCCTAAGATCCTTGAGGAAATGTTTGGCATGCTGGAAGGAGCCCGAAACACTCGATCTGCGATTTTCTTCACGGGCGAGTCGTGCCCAGAGCTGGATGCCATAGCAAAGCGTGCAGTTGTTGAACGCCTCCGTCTTCCTGGGACGGCGGGAGGAGTGCCTAGGTTAGAGTATGTATGGCAGGTCACATTTGCCGGCAGTGACACGTCAGGGCCACAGCTGGCATACCAGGCTTCTTTCGTTAAGGTCAAGGCCCCCAAGGCTCGGGAGAAGCATGCAGGCACAGTTGTAGTACGGGCACGCTTCGCTTCGGAGTATTGTAGTGCTGATACATGGTCAAAGGCATGTCGCCAACCAGGCACCGTGTTCAGGGACTGGATTGCAAAGCAGAGTCCTGCTGCTTTGAAGGCTGTGAAAGACACATGGGGGTGGCATGTCATGGATCAAACTCGTATTCAGGGCTTGGTGAGAGTTTCATGCGAAGAGGCGCGCACGCTCTTGCAACTTGGTGGCAGGAGTGTTGGCAATACCGCAGTCTTCATGGAAGCATTGGACTGGTCCAACCTAGGGGTCTGCACGCCAGTAGTTTTGTGGGTGGATAAGCTGCCGGCAGAAACGGACTCCGCATATCTTGCGCGGGTTCACGAGCAATCTACTGAACTAGGACTGGTTGTAGGCAAGCGGCAGCTTGGACTCAGGGTTGATGAGCTCGACGATCGGCTTATGCCCAAGCAAGCAGTGTGGCGACTTCGTAAGTGCCCTTTCGGATGGGAAATCCCAGACCTCGAGAACCTTCTTTCTCAGGCAGGCTTTGAGGGTTGTGAGATACTTGCCAAGCATAGACAGCGAGGAGCCGCTGATTGGGTTTTTCGAGCATACCGTGCGGATGGTAGGACATTCGTTCCTTTAGAGGTTGGGGATGATCTGATGTTGGAGGCCGTTCTTGAGGCCAAGCGCAAACCGGGGTATAAGACCAAGCAGGCTTTGCCGGGAGAACGGATCAGCCGATTCTTGCCCAAGGCCGATAAGACCCTCTTCCCTGGCACTAGGTACAAAGGGTCCGCGGCCCCACCTCACGGATCAGTCACTAGCTTCGTCCCAGCTTCGTCGGAGGAGCCGTTGATACAAGAGGAGCTGCCGATGGAACTTGATGGCGAAGATGACGTCACCATCGATGAGGCCCTTCACATGCCGGGTAAGCGCACTGCGACTGAAGATCTCGGTGCCGAAGCTGCAACAAAAGAGGTTAAGAGAGCCCGACTGGGTAAGGAATGGCTCACCTCGGTCCTCCCTGCGGGGGCGAAGGTGCGAACTAATGAAGGGCAAGGTAACTGCTTGTTCCACACTCTTAGCCAAGCGGTGGAACATGCAGGGCGTAGTGCCTGCACTCATAGGCAGATGCGTGCGGCCATTACAACCTGGATGCGACGACATGAAGATCAGCTTGCATCCCATTGGGATGGCTTGGGGCCTGATGAGCAGCCTCTCGAAGGTGATTACCAGGCTTATGTTAACGAAGTTGCTCAGGTCGGTAAGTGGGGTGGTTTCTTAGAGGTTGCGGCGTTCTCTAAGGCTGAGGGTTACAACATACTTATCCTTGATGGGGATGAAGGAAAAATGTACAAGTTGCCGGCCAAACAGGACGGACCCATGTGTGTACTGTTTTTCCATGCTTGTCATTATGAGTTTGTGGAATGCAACAGTGGTGCAGTTGCAGAGCTTTGGATGCGTGCAGAAGTGCCGGATTTGAAGGGTCATCGGGGTGCATCACCCAAATCCAGCGGCTCTTCGCTTCACTTGAGCAGGTTTGCTTCTTCTAGTGGCAAACGGAGCCGTCCTTGTTCCTCGCTCCACCTGTCGGCTCCTGCTCAGGCGTCGGCGGATACCGTTGTTGCCACCCCTGCCAAACGTGCCCGTGACCCAAGCCTCAACAAGTCAGTAGCGGCAATCACGGAACAGCGAGAACACAAGTGGAAATGTGACGTGTGCAAACGGCTTATCACCGGCACGACCCGAAAGCAACTTAGCGACAGACGCAATTGGCATATTTATAGTGTGCACAAAGGTGAGCCCAAAGAAAACTTCTCCCAATTGCAGGTCCGAGTACAGCTTGAGTTCACTGATCTGCCTCAGGCGATGCGCAAGCACACTTGTAGCTGGTGCGGCCTGGGGATTGATGGTCGGGAATGGAGCAAAAAGGCCCGGTATGAATGCCTGTTGCGGCATATCAAGCAATGCGGAGGCCCGAAGGCCACAGTTGCAATGAATCGGCAACGCTTGGTAAATCAAAAATGGAACAAGGGTGAACGGTCATACGATCCAGGTGAGCGTAATAAGCATCGCAACACCACCGTGCGGCTTTGGAATGGACTGCGTAAAGCTGGCCAACATGAGTATCTGGATTTGGAGCTTCCGCTAAGTTTTAAGCGACCCGCTGGAAAGAGACGTTTCACAGTCCTCACGTGTCGTCTCTGCACTCGCACTTGGCCAACCCCTAGCTGTGTTCGTGATAGGACTTGTCCTCACCCTTCGGGTGTCAATAGGGATAGCACCCTCACTGCGCGTAAGTGGAAGTGGTGGGCGGGCCTTAGGCAGCGTGATGACCTGCGTTTTGCCAAAGCTGTGGTGGCGTGGTGCCTTACATGGCGAGAGCTCAATCTTCTGGAAGAGACGGCTAGGCGAAAGCATAAGAAAGGTTGGAAGCATGTAGCACCCATTAAGAAAGTTGAGTGGGAACGCATGTTGCGAGAAGAAGGTATCGAACCGAACCCTGGTCCTGGATCAGATTCTTTACTTTCGAAGCTTAGTTTGTGTTTTGGCAACGCAAATGGTCTCTCTAATACGTACCGGGCTGTAGACCTCTTTACCCAGCAACAGCCCCATGTTATTGCCATCTGTGAAATCCAGGCTCTTCCGCACGAGCAGGCATTGCTCCAATCGCACTTGCAGAAGGCTGGATATCGATCCTGGGTGGTAGCGACCCCTCCTAAAAAGAACAGTCGAGGCATCTCATATGCCAACGCAGGCATCGTGATTGCAGTTCGCACTGACGTGCGCGCTCATCTGGTTCAGACGCTTCTGCACGAAGAGGGAGAGGCCGTTGAGTTAGACTTCGAGGGTTTTTATCTTGCTTGTGCATGGCGTAGGCCTGACGCTTGGGAGGACGGGACATTCCTTCAGACACTGACTGAATGGGCATACAGTGCGGGAGGCAGGGATAAGCCCTGGTTTAGTGTCGGGGATTGGAATTGGCTGCCTGAGGAAAATCCTTTAGTTATGTCTGGTGATTTTCATATCTTCGGAGTTCGGCAGGGTAATGTATGGGCCCCCACTCGCTGGCAGTCTGATAGAGCCATTGATTATGTGCTCTCTACGGCCACGGATGTCCAGGCTGAGGTTTCTTTCTTTCCGGAGATGTATAGTGACCACAAATTCTTGAGATGTCGCCTGACAGCGGGTTTCAACCGTGATCCCCTGTTTCAGCTGCAGCAGACGGTTGTGTTTAGCAAGCCCGACGGGGTTGATGCTGGTCGGTGGAGGGAGGCCCTCCGGGCGCGTTGGGATGCTGTTGCGTTACCAGAGGCAGCTACTACGGAAGAGGAATGGATATGGTTTAACCGCGTAGCCAGTGACATCTTCACGGATTGCCACCGACATTTCGGTTCCGAACCTCGCGTGCAAGGCCTCAGAGCCAAGGGCACTCTGCCGCGACTCAGCGCTCAGGGGTCTACAGCAGGCAAACCCGCCCAGGAAGGTACCTTTCGTCAAAGGCGATTGGCCAAATTCATGGGCCGCCTCCTGGAGTTCGCCCGCCGTCGGGATGATTCCTTTTTGGAAAGCAAGCTTAGGCGCACTTGGCCTGAAGATCTCCCTAAAGGACGCCCGATGGTTGAGACGGTTGCTGCTGCCCGGCAGCTTCTGGAAAAAGAAAGGCGTCAGGCCAAACAGGCTGCGCTTGCTAAGTGGCGGGACCGGATGCGCAATGGCGGCAAGGCTCTTACTGCATGGATCAAAAGGCAATGGCAGCCACTGCCTCACACCTTCTGGCGTATCGTGGGGGGGCAGCGTCAGGTTGCCGCCTCGTATGCGCATGCCTTAAGCCTCATAGTGGACTTCTGGCGCAACATATGGGACAGGGATGTGCAATGCCCTGCGGTGGAGGCTTTAGGTCGGGATTTTGAGGTCACGACGGCCATGCCGGGCAGTTGGCGGCTCGAGGTTAAGGAGGTTGTCGCTGCGGCTAAGCAGTGCCAAGGTGCTCCGGGCCCTGATGGCTGGCGACCGGATGAGGTTTCGCAACTCCCTGAGCGGGCTTTTGCTTTGTTCCTTGCTCTGTGGGAGCGCTGGGTGGAAAGGCAGGCCTTCCCCAAGGTATGGCAGCACACCAGGATGGTCATGATCCCCAAAAAGGTTCCGTCAGAAGGTTTGGACGTCGCTGATCTCAGGCCCATCAGTGTCCAATGCCTGTTTGCCCGTATTCTGTCCTCCTGTTTTGCGCGACGGCAAGCCACCAGGGACTGGGCTCGGGCTGTCCTGCCGGACCAGATGCATGGTAGTATCTGTGGGAGGGGTACCCACACTGCTGTCCTTCCCTTGGATGTTGCTTTCGCCCGTGGTGGGATTCTCGTCACTCTTGATCAGCGGAAGGCCTTTGACAGCTTGCAACCTCGCCTGGCATTGCGTGAGTTGAGGGCTCATGGCATGCACCCGGAATGGGTCTGCCATCTCAGATGGACGTGGAGCACTCAGGTGCGCTGGGTCATGTTAGGCAGGCATGTTCACCCTGACGCTCAAGTCGTTACCACTTCCCTCCCGCAGGGTTGTGCTTGTGCCCCACTGGCTCTCAATCTGGTTCTTGCTGCCCCTGCGCGTCAAATAGCTAGGGACACTTCGGGTCACGTTGTCCATTCGCTTTTTCTGGATGATAGAAGCTTCGTGGCAGATGACCCCGACCGGGCCGTAGATACCATTCAGAGGTGGGAGGAAGGCTTGAGTCATTTCGGTCTGCAGGAGAATGTCGACAAAATGGCTGTCCTGTGTTCTAATCTGCAGCAACAACAGGTCATGATTGCTCGTGGGGTTCCTGCGCGTTCCTTTCATGATGAGGTCAAGGTCTTGGGTGTCAGCTTCCAGCGTAGCCCCGGGGAACTTTCATCCTCCACCGCAAAGCGTCACACAAATGCTCAAAGCATCCTTTCTCGCATGGACATGCTGCCGTTTCCGGGCCCTTTCCGGGCCCAAGTGTACAGGACTCGTGTCTCACCCTACCTGGTGTGGGGCCACTGGTTGGAGGCACCCACTGATGACTTTTGCCAACAGTGGACCACCCAGGTTAAGCGCACGGTGCGTGTACAGAGGCAGGCGTCCCGACCGTTGTGGCGTCTGTTGCAAGGGCACTGGATCGACCAGGCGCTCAAGTCCGGTTTGGATGCGATGAGCTTCTTTAGGAAAGCCTGCATTCACTGGGGATACAGCCACGCTCAAATCAGGCAGTCGTCATGGGGGAAGCGCATGGACCGCTTTATGAGCACTGCGGGCCTTCGGTATGTCTCGCCCTGGCATTGGCAAACGTCCCAGGGTCGACAGGTGGTATGGCAGGTGAATACCCCTGCTACATCTGCCCAACATGTTGTGAGGGATCTTTGGCGTCGGGCACGCTTTGAGGAATTCCTCCAACAGGATCGTAGAGACTCTAGGGGGCTGGTAGGCAGGGTGCAATATCGTGAGCAGGTAGTCAAAAGCACCGCCGTCCTTTTTGCTTCCGCCACCCAAGAGGAGCGAGGGGTCCTACTTGGGGCTGCATCCAGTGTCGCTTGCTACGATGCCATACGTGCTCGGCGTCTCGAATTCGAAGGCGTTCGCCAGGAATGCCCTTTCTGTGACGACTCGGTGGTGCCAGACTGGTACCACCTGTGCTGGCGTTGCCCTAGGTTTGCTGAGGGACGGCCCCCGGAGCCTAACACGCCGCTCGCTTCTAGGTTAGGTTGGCAAGACAGTGGCTCAAAGGCGGAAGCTCAGGCACGCTTGCAGTACATGTCGGGCGTCCGCAAGGCTGTGCGCATAGCGCATGGCTTTCGGTAGGTTGTGAGCTCTGTGTAGGGTTTTGTCGGTTTAGGCCCTCGGGTTTAGGCTTCCTCTTGTAGGTTGGTTGTGCCTCCCCTTTGGCACGGTTGAATGCGCCTTTTTTGGTACCGTTTTTTTTCCCTCCAGGTGTGTGTCTGGCAGGTTTCCTCTTATGGAACCGAGTCAGTCAAGACAAACGTGCTCTTTCCCCTGGTTACTTCAACGCCCTTGTAAGCCCTAAGCCGGAAAAAGCAGGTAACCGACACTCCTAAGCCCTAAACCCTAACACACCTCAGAGACCCTTAAGCCCAAGCCCTAAACTCTAGATCCGAAAGCCCCAAGAGCCCTAAACCTCCGAACACCAGAGCCCTGAACTCTAAACCCCAGAGCTTACAACCGAAAGTACAGCCCCTTAAGCCCTAAACCCTGAAACCTAAACCCTAAACCCTCAACTCTCAACCCAAAACCCAATCCCCTTCCCCCTGAACCCTTCCCCCTGAACCCTGAACCCTGAACCCTAAACCCTAAAACCCCTAAACCCTAAACCCTAAACCCAGCCAGCCGAGGCTCTTCCCCAGTTTTTTGTGGGGATATCTGGTGGGCTCCTTCCTCCAGGCCGCCTCGGTCCAGGGTACTTAGAGGATGTCATGGGGCTTGGTAAGTAGGGTTCCTTGAAGGGCTCCTTAAAGGGATCTATAGGGTTCCTTAACGGGATCTACAGGGTCTAGGTAGGGTTTAGGGATTTTAGGGCCTACTTGGAGGATCATGGGACTTAGTAAGTAGGGCTATTACGTAGAGTAGGGTTGTAGGTAGATTAAGTATAGTTACCTTACTTATAACCCTACTTACTAACATGATCCTTTAAGTAGGGTCTAGTAACCCAGAAGACCCTTTTACGAGACGAGGATTTTGAGATTGGGGTTTGGAGTTAAAGGTTCAGTTTAGGGTTTATCTAGGGATGGAGTGTCATAATAAGCCCTTCCAAACGTAAATCTTTCCGGTTGACGATTGTTGAGTGTGAAGCTCATGAGTTTGAGACTCGGTTTTAGGGCGCAGGGTTTGACCTTGTTTTTTCCCGAAGGCTTTTCCACGTCGGCAAAACAGCCTACACCCACGAGTTCCCTAAACTGTCAGATCCCCTGCGCTTCCCTAAACCCCAAACCTAAACCTTAATTCAACCCAAAGCTTCCCCAAGCCTCTGCTTTTCTGGATTAGACCACTTGATTGCTTTCCGGATAGGGTGTCACGGTTCCCTAAACCGTAAACCATAAACCCTAAGCTTCCCGAGCTTAAGCCCCAAGACAGGCCGCCGTCATGACGATGGCCCTCGTCTCGGTGAACGTACTTTTCTTCGAACCCCTGGACGATTGCGCCTTGGAGCTCGGTTTGCCCAAGCGGCGGCTCTAGCTGGGGTCGAAGATAGAAGCTAGAGTATTTAGTTATACTACTTCTCAGGGCTCCTTGTTACGATTATGTTAGAATATACCGTGTTTACCACCCCCAAAGCCCTTATTCTGCACGTCGCGGGCTTGGAGGTCCGGGGCGATCGAAATCTAGGATGGAGGGGTGTATCGACAAGCCATCCAGAAGACCCCCAAACCCCAAACCAGTTTAGAAGCCCCGCATCTCCATCGCACCGCTACGAGAGGCTTTGAAAAGAAAACAGGAATCCTAATATCAATGCTCTCACGGCAATGCGGGTTCAAGCACAAGGGTTTGCTACTACAGAGCTGACAACCTTCAAACTGAGCTTCGAATAATCAGTTGTCTGAGGTGCTGGCCTGGCTGCCTCCTGCGAGATCTTCGCCAAGAGCGTGGTGCCCACACAAAGCAGCTAACACACCCCAGCCCTAAAACCCAACAGAAGCTCGCGCCCCCAACGCCCCAAACCGGCTTGGTGCCCAGCATTCAAAGTAGTTGTTCGGGTTGACGGCATTGCGGCCCCGTGCGCCTAAACCGGTTGAGGGTGTAGGATTGCAGGTCTTCGGGTCTGCGACTTCAGGGTCTAGAGACATCCTTAAACCCTTGAACCCCAAACCCTTAAACCCCTAAACCCTTAGACACTAAACCCCTAAACCCTTAAACCACCCCTAATCGCCCTAGTCCTTAAAACACAAGAAACCCTGGAGGTGCCAAGCCTCTTCTCCATGGCTTGCACCCAGGCCATGATCCACCAAGGCCCGCAGCGCTTAAGGCCTCTAAGAGCCCAAGAAGCCTACTTACAGAAGCACTAATGTAGGGGCCTTAATAATTAGAATAGGGTTTTGGGGCCCATTATACTATAATTATATTAAGGAACCCCCACCATAATATTGGTAATTATTTAGGCTCCTACATTAGGCGACTTAGTGGTTGAATAGGGGACTTAGGGGTTTCGGGCTTGAGGGTTTAGGGCGTAAGGCTTGAGGGTTTTAGACGTGGGGGGCGTAGGGGTTTAGGGTTTCGGTTGTAGGGTATAGGGTTTGGGGTGTCCAGTGTCGGCTTTCTGGGTTGTAGGGTTTTAGGGCTTTAGGGTTTAGTAGGGCTTTTGAGTTTACAGGTTTTACGTTTAGGGCATAGGGTTTGCGGTTTAGGACCCTGAAGATGGGAGTTTTCCCGTTCACGTTGCGGGGGCCTCTAGGAACCCGCACTCTTTTTCCCTGGAGGTGTCCGTTGCTTCGTCAATCTCCAGGCCGGTCCCAGTTCGGGGGTACTTGGCAGTGCATGGGACTTAGTAAGTAGGGTTTCCAGTACCTTGATTCGGGTGATAAGTATAGATATAACTCTACTTGCTAATTCCCCTGAACCTTGAAGTATCATGGCTTCCTTCAAGTGACCAGCGGTTTCGGCAAAGTCCTGTTTTATGAGCTCGAAGCTGTCCGGTGAGTCTTGTGTCGTACATTGCAGGACCGGGCATTCGGACCTCAAGTTCTATTCACCCACGGTTCGCAAACCACGGATCCAAAACTCAACCCTCCACGACACTCCCCAGCCTACAATCCTCAACCCCTCAGAACCCTCTTTGAACCTCAACCATGACATGTCTAAGCATTTCAATCCCAAAACCCAAAGCCGTCTACAGTCAACTCCAAAACCCCCAGGTCAACTCCAAATGCTAAATCCGAAGACCCCCGAACCCCTCAGCCCCAACATGCGAAAGTCTAGCGCAGAAAGCACTCAAAACCATGCCCCGCACCCCTAAACCCAAAAAGGGCGAAGAAAGAACCCCAAGCCCGAGCTCCCTCGCCTAAACCCTAAACCCTCAAACAGGCTGCGGCGTGCGTGGCGGCAGGGCTCGTATTCTGGCTCGGCTACGCCCGCAACCCTCCAGCCTGGCTGGTTGAGAGAGACGCGAAGGGCTAGATTGGGTTCGGCATTTTGCCTTTTGGGGGGTTCTGCAAGGGTGCCGTAAGAGTTCTCACAGGGTTCCAAAGGCGTTACATCGACTTGTTTTCGTTTTAGGGGGCTGGGGTTTTAGTGTCAGCCCGAAATTAGAGGAGAAGACGCCGCCTCCAAAGTGGGGAAGAGCGCGTTTGGAGGGCCTCCGCGAAAAGATGGGCTTCGCACTCGGCGCCTGACAGGCGAACTTTTCTTCGGACGTAAAAGTGCAACCAGACTCGTTTGGTGCCTTCCAGAGTGTCACGTTGTTCTCTCGGATAGTATTGACACATATCTGATTGTTCGTGCCCTGACTGGTCTTTGGCTGATGGCACGAGGAGGTTTGCTTTTCACCCAGACGGCGCCAGGTCAAGCTTGATAGACTTGCCCTGAACTCCCTGAACCGTAATCGCCGAACCGGTCGTGTCGCTGAAGCTGTCTGCTTGTTCCTTGAGGGCTCGGATGTTGGTGATTACACAAGCATCAGCTTGGACACCCTTCGTCTAGCGCCTTGAGGAGCATCTTGCATCACCGCAGAACACAATTTTGCAAAGTCTTCTAGTTTCGAGCTTTGATTACTTCCACCCAGCATCCAGACAAAATCCAGAACCTTTCCCTCAATCCTCGTCTTCCAACCTCAAAGCCCCCACACCACTCTTTGGCCAGGCTGCTGGTTGAGTTCCCGGATGCAAAGGCGCGGCGGGAAGCAGAAGGCCTTACAAGGCTTTGAGGACCAACGACCGCTCCTTCCCTCAACCACCCCTCAACACTAAATCCCAACCCCAAACCCAGACCCGTATCTTAGGCTACAAACCCCGACCCCACATTCCAGAACCTATAACGATAACCTGTAACTCTCAACCTAAGCCTCGAACTCACAACCCCAAGCCCAAGTCCTGAACGATATGCTGCGCTAGGACGTACAGACGATAAGCTCTACTCTGGGTGTTGGATAGGGGCTTTGAAAGATGACTCCGTCCGAATTCTGCGGCATGTTACATGGGGAGTTGTTTTGTGATTGAGTGTTCCATGTAAGATTCAACTTCTGGGGTGTGCGATGACAAGGAGCATGAATGAGGGGTCGGAGCTGCAAAGACCGGTGCTGCGAAAGTCTCGCGCAGCAAGTCTGTTTTTCAGCATCTCGCATCAAGCATCGGCGAGTATTCTAGGGGCCTTAATAATTACCACACTGTTTTGGGGGCTCCTTATTATACTTAGAGTATAATGTACTCCAAAGCCATTCTGTTGAAGCCCTTTTGGTATTTGGAGAAGCCCTCTGAGACTTCAGGTGTGCAGTCCAGGGTTCCCAGAGAGCCCAATACCCCTAAGTTGAGGACTATGGCTTAAGTTATATAGGGCTTCATATGATGAGTTAAGCTATATTCATTAATTTAAGGGGTCTTTTGCTCTCTGGGCTTGTCCTTGGACAGGACGAAGGCATCAGCGACGGGGCGAGCCCGGTCTATGCTGCAGCGATGAAGGACCACACAGAGGTTCACTGCAGGGGCAAGTTACCCTAAACCCTAAACCCTGAGCCCGTAAACCGCGTTAGAGTTTGTTGCTACTGCGAGTTTTGTGTTGTTCGGAGTCCAAGGGTAGCTAGGTGGCAGTTTGGAATACATCATACGCCCCCTTATAGTCTTGTATTGTAGATGTATCGTATCTATCCACACACAGGCTGAGGTGCACTTCAACTACAATCTACAACCCAGTCTGCGGCTTTTCGGAGCTTGGGGCAAGCTCTGATGTTGAGAGGATTTGTGGCAATGCTTCTGGAGACTGTCTGGTTCTTAGTAGGGAATGTGGGAATGGATTGTGGAGACCATTATTGGGGAATAAAAGGGGCCACTGTAGGGATCGATTCCCCCATTCCCTACTAAGCACAAGACACGAGAGTGTAGCTCAGTCTTCCTCGGAATTCTACCTCCGACAGGTGCTGGAGGCGTTGCTCGAGGCCCGTGCCAACGCCGACACCACGAAGGACGTTTCTGCTTCTGCTTCTACTGTAAGGAAATTCCCAGGGAGTACTATTAATAGAACTCCTAAGGAGTATATAGCAATATAACTCGGAGGGAGTATTAGCAAAACCCCTAAGGGAGTCTTTAAGAAATGGCTTTTATTGTAGTTCTAGGGGCGCATATGGTTGGGTAAGCTCCTGGTTAAGCGATGCGCCACTACGAGTGTCTCGGGAGTGCTTGGTCAATACCCAGTACACCGGGACTGTGATAGGTCAACGCGACTGATCAAAGGTAGCAGTGTTTTGGTTTCAAGGTGTACGAGGCCACTCAGGACCTTCAAGAGCATGACAAACCAAAAAAGCAAACACGCACACGAGCAAGCAACAAACGAGCAGAAACATGAACGAGGGGAGGAGGGAAGCGAGGAAACCACAAAGGAAGGAAGAACAAGGGAAGGAACTCAAAAATCGTAGCCCCCAGACCCGAAGCCCCAAACCCCTAAACCCTAAACCCTTTAAAGCCCTAAACCCCTGAACCCCAAACCCAATGCCTCTCCCGTCAGGACGACGGTGCCTCTGCGGCTTTCATCGCCACGCAGTTCGGCAGTCCAAAGGTCGGGCTGTTTACGGGTTTCGTGTTTAGGATTTAAGATTATATGGCTTTAGAGTTTAGGAGTTTAAGGTTTAGGATAGTGGGTTCAATTAGGGTTTTTGTTTAATGGATTTCGGGTTTGGGGTTTCGGCTTCGATTGAAGATTATGAGGTTAAGGTTCAAGATGGCCAGAAAATCTTTTTGAGCTTTCTGATTCTGTCTCGGTGCGGAGGGCTTCTGGGTATTTTAGCGGCCGGAAGGCTTTGCGATTCTTGTTTTTATCTTTTGACTGCAAGGTTTACGCAGGGAATTGGGAATTTAAGAGTGATTAAGTCTTTGTAGTTGTAGGTGTTTTTAGCGTGGTTTCAGAGCTTTGCTTTTCTTTTGGAAGTCGTTGTGCATTTCAGGCATGGGGGCGGTCTGCCTCAACTGAGCCCTCAGCCTGAAGCCTCACGGGCCCCAATCCCTAACTGTGAACCCCAAAAGAAATATGGGATAAATGAAAGCCTTAAGTGCTGGGACCCTTGTTGCGCAGAACTCACGAAACAGATACGGGAGTTTCCGAAGATAAGGGATCCTAATATAGTACCCTAAATAGTAGGATCCTGGCTATAAGGACCCCGAAATAAGATACCCCTAATTTTCGGAAATTCCCATACCGACTTTTAAGACCCCCCACTCTGTCGGAGTTTCTCGGTGTCACAGGCCCTGAACCTTCTCCTCGGCGCGTCGGCAGATCCGAACCGTGCTCGGCAGGAGGCGTCCTGAATTAGTCTGTGGGTCAGAGGGGCGCCGGGGGTTTGGGGGTCTACGGTGGAGGTGTTTAGGTTTCTTCAGGTTTAGGGTTTGGGTCGGTGCACTTTCTGTGTTAAACTCGTTGTGTGAGTGTACACGGAGATTCGTGAAGAGTCTAGGCTTCGCTTGCCTCTGGCGGTGTGGGGGATCGGAGGGTTTCGGCTGTGGGAGTTTGGATTTCCGGCCAGTCCAGATTTCGGAGTTTTATGTCATGGATGGCTCTTCCACCAGCAGTCTTTGTGTTGTTGTCCTTGGGCTCAACCACGTGTGTGTTTGCAATCCCAAGCATCGAAACCTGATTCGGATCCTAAACCTTAGATCGTATCAGCCCCGGGGTGGTGTCGGGGGTACTACTATCGAGCTTCAGTTTCGAGACCTCGAAACAAATAGGTTCATGATATGGGGTTGTAGGGTTTAGGACCAAGCAAGCCGTAACCCGCCTTCGAAAAATTAAGGTTTGCAAGGGCTCCTCTCAGTTTTTTTGTGACAAGACCGTTAGCACCCAGAGTCTGCAATCCGAGCCCGAACTGACCCCTTCCCCTGACAAACTGTGGGCTTCCGAATCGAACAACGGCAGCAGGACGGCGTGGCTCCAGCGTACATGGCGGTGCAGAGCGGCCATTCCGAGGAGTTGAGGATGCTGCTGGAGGCCTTTATAACGTTGGATTTGAGCTTCAGTGATTCAGCTGACAGCTTTCGGGTTAGTACTTTGTGTGGTTTCCGGCTGAAGTTCAGGGTTTAGGATTATCTGGGATTGTGAGTCAGCGAGTTTTCGGGTTTATCCAGGTTGCGTGCGGGGGAGGTGACCCGCGTTTTTTGTTGGCTTCTTCTGCGACTGATGTTGCCCTTCCGACCCTTGAATGTCTCTCATCACATCTTTAGCAACTGTAGCTGTTGCATGACGAGAGTTATTTGTGAGCTGCTGAGCTCCCCGGAGATGATGCAACCAGTCGAATTTCGGCTCCACTGAGTCTGGCCCCTGAGCTTTCTCTTGCAGGAGCATGACGCCTCCATGCCGGAGAGGGCAACCTCGTGTTGGCGCCCTCTGCCTTCTGTGCCTTCTTCTCGGAGCTGCGCTGCCGGCCTCCGCTCCGCCCCTCTGGTGGCGGAAGGGTCGACCTCGGGAGAAGTTGGGGAGCAGGGCTGAGGCAGAGCTCCTTTGCCAGCTGGCCGTGCTGCTGATGCCGGATGTCCCCATTGCCGAGGGTTTCCGTGATTTTCCGGTGAAAAAATGCAAACAGTGGGGCTCTAGCAGACTGTCCCCGGATTTGACGGCTTACGGTGTGCTGAAAGCAACCGATGCTGCCCTGTTCATCGAGTACGATGGCCACTATCGTCACATAGAGCCACCGGGGCTGGCCAGGGACACGCGGAAGACCAGCGCGCTGCTGAAGTTCGCTCCCGCGGGGTCTGTCGTCGTCCGCATCGCGCACAAGGAGCGACGTTGGAAGGACAAGTCCATGCAGGTGCTGGTGGACAGCTGGTGTGCTGAGCACGAGCCTTCGCTTCTCAAGGCCCTCAATCAGGTCGTGGCTTCTCTTTCGGAGCAGTCCCGTGGCAGGCTGCATCCCACGGTAGCTTCACGCCTGGAAGCCTTCGCTGCAGAGGAAGGCATCAACGAGGATGCAAGTACCCGAGCCAGAAAGTCTGAGTTGGTTGGGAGGTCAAACAGCAGCAGGCCAAATTTGGAAGAGTTTCTTTGCGAGGAAGTAGGTTTGCATACTCGGCACGTTGCCAGAGTGATCGCGACCTTTCCCAGATTGCTTGGCTACAGCATTGAGGCAAATCTGAAGCCAACAGTCGAATGGATCAAAGCGCTGGGCCTGAGCCAGTCGCAGGTTGCCAAGGTCATCCTCGGACATCCGCAAGTGCTTGGCTACAGCATTGAGGCAAATCTGAAGCCAACAGTCGAATGGATCAAAGCGCTGGGCCTGAGCCAGTCGCAGGTTGCCAAGGTCATCCTCGGACATCCGCAAGTGCTTGGCTACAGCATTGAGGCAAATCTGAAGCCAACAGTCGAATGGATCAAGGGGCTGGGCCTGAGCCAGTCGCAGGTTGCCAAGGTCATCGCGATGTTTCCGCCAGTGCTTGGCTTGAGCATTGAGGCAAATCTGAAGCCAACAGTGGAGTGGATCAAGGGGCTGGGCCTGAGCCAGTCGCAGGTTGCCAAGGTTATCGCGACCTTTCCCTCAGTGCTTGGCTACAGCATTGAGGCAAATCTGAAGCCAACAGTCGAATGGATCAAAGGGCTGGGCCTGAGCCAGTCGCAGGTTGCCAAGGTCATCCTCGGACATCCGCAAGTGCTTGGCTACAGCATTGAGGCAAATCTGAAGCCAACAGTCGAATGGATCAAGGGGCTGGGCCTGAGCCAGTCGCAGGTTGCCAAGGTCATCGCGATGTTTCCGCCAGTGCTTGGCTTGAGCATTGAGGCAAATCTGAAGCCAACAGTGGAGTGGATCAAGGGGCTGGGCCTGAGCCAGTCGCAGGTTGCCAAGGTTATCGCGACCTTTCCCTCAGTGCTTGGCTACAGCATTGAGGCAAATCTGAAGCCAACAGTCGAATGGATCAAAGGGCTGGGCCTGAGCCAGTCGCAGGTTGCCAAGGTCATCCTCGGACATCCGCAAGTGCTTGGCTACAGCATTGAGGCAAATCTGAAGCCAACAGTCGAATGGATCAAGGGGCTGGGCCTGAGCCAGTCGCAGGTTGCCAAGGTGATCGCGACATCTCCTCAACTGCTTGGCTTGAGCATTGAGGCAAATCTGAAGCCAAGTGTCGAATGGATCAAGGGGCTGGGCCTGAGCCAGTCGCAGGTTGCCAAGGTTATCGCGACCTTTCCCTCAGTGCTTGGCTTGAGCATTGAGGGGAATCTGAAGCCAACCGTCGAGTGGATCAAGGGCCTGGGCTTGGGCCAGTCGCAGGTTGCCAAGGTGATCGCGAAGTGTCCTTCAGTGCTTAGCTTGAGCATAGAGGCAAATCTGAAGCCAACAGTAGGATGGATCGAAGGGCTGGGCCTGAGCCAGTCGCAGGTTTCCAAGGTGATCGCGACATGTCCCCCAGTGCTTGGCTACAGCATTGAGGCAAATCTGAAGCCAACAGTCGAATGGATCAAAGGGCTGGGCCTGAGCCAGCCCCAGGTTGCCAAAGTTATCGCGATCTTTCCAACAGTGCTTGGCTACAGTATTGAGGCAAATCTGAAGCCCACAGTCGAATGGATCAAAGGGCTGGGCCTGAGCCAGTCGCAGGTTGCCAAAGTTATCGCGATCTTTCCAGCAGTGCTTGGCTGCAGCATTGAGGAAAATCTGAAGCTAACAGTCGAGTGGATCAAGGGGTTGGGCTTGAGCCAGTCGCAGGTTGCCAAGGTGATCTTGCAGCGTCCTCAAGTGCTTGGCTTGAGCATAGAGGCAAATCTGAAGCCAAGTGTCGAATGGATCAAGGGGCTGGGCCTGAGCCAGTCGCAGGTTGCCAAGGTGATCGCGAAGTTTCCTCCAGTGCTTGGCTTGAGCATCGACGCGAATCTCTCAGAGAAGCACCTTCTGCTGCAGCAATACTTTCCTGGAGTGCAGGCAGCAAAGGTGCTGGCGCAAGCGCCTCGCCTCTGGAGCTACAGGTATGCTCGACTTGAACATCGTCTTGCCGTGCTGAAAGCACAAGGCCAGCTCTCCAAACTTGCGGGTGCCATGACTCTTCCCCTGGATTTATTTACTTGCAGATACTGTGAATGCATGATTAGGGACGCAAGTGTCGACAAAGCGCTGCACAATGAAACGATTGCTTCATGGAGCTTCTACCCGATTTGTTGGCAGTGCTCTGGTACAAGAACCCCAAAGATGCCGGAGTTCTGCAGCTGTTGGACATGCACTTATTCCCAATCAACCTTTCGCTGTATGTGCCACCAAACCGTTGAAGAACATTTAGCTGTATCAATGCTCATCTTTCTGTGTGCGAGCCCCCATGAGACTCGAAATCGGTCCCCTTCACCATGCTGCTGAGTAGCCTTGTCCGTTTGTCGTTGACTTCGCCCAATGCCTTAAGCTCCCTGCAAGCCCCCAACCCACCGCTCCGTTGGAGGCCCGCGCAAACCCCAACCAGCTCACGACCAAGGCTGCAAACCAGGGATTTTTTCTGGTGCATTTTAGGAGTGGAGGGATTCTTTGGAGAAGCGCAGGTCCAAGCCCTTTGCCGCTTTAGGAGGTTGTAGGCTGAAAGAGGGCTATGTAGGGGAAACGGGCACCGGCTCATGGATCTCCCCAGGACCCCCCTATACAGGCCCCTTGCCAGGACCCAGCACCGGGGCTTGTTTTGAGTTGCGACAAAGAGAGTACCCAAACTCTCAACTCCCTCCATCCTGAGCAGAAAGGCAAACAGCAGACAACGGAGAGCAGAGTGCAGAGAGCGTAGAGTATAGAGGGCAGAGAGCGAGCAGAGAACGGAGAGCAGAGCGCAGAGCACAGAGAGCATACGCTAGATAGCAGAGCGCAGATTCTGCGCAGAGCGCAGAGTGCAGACTTTGCGCACAGTGCAGAGCGCATAGAGCATATAGAATATAGAGAGCAGAGCGCAGAGAGGAGAAAAGCTTTGTAGCCTATTGCGTGAGGCCCTAGACCTTGAAGCCCGCAACCTTCCAACCGTCAACCCGGAACCTTGAAAGCGACCCGTCCAGGAACCTTACACCCTAAATTTTTGGAACCTTGAACCCGGAGTCCCCGAAGTTCCATAGAGCCGAAACAAACTCGAAGATCAACGAACCCCGAAAAACTCCGTTGAGCGAAGTTAGGGAGGCTGCACCCATCCATTTCAGCCTACATTCGGCCGAGAGAGCCAGGTCCTCCAAATGGGGTTACATCCCCCCATTTCACTCTACATGCAAAAACTCAGCTGAATAAGATGGTAGCATGTAAGCCCACTATTGAGTAGGAACGGGGATCTTAACCCCAAGTGTTGAAGTGCATGCTATAGAGGCAGCAAGCTGTTGGAGAACCTGGGATGGAATTTTTCACTTTGGGATTTTGCCATGGCTTATGATGTGTACTGTAAAAAGAGCTCTGGCCTTGAAGCTTTTCAACACTTGATCGTAGACTAGCCAAGACTCCAGACCCTAACACCATACTTTAACAAATCCAGGAGCATCTAGTACAAAACTGGCTATCAACCTTCCTAAACTGCCATGCCTAGGAAAAAACCAGCCTAAACCCTAAACACTGAAAGCCCTAAACCCAAAGAACCCTAAACCCAAAAAGCCTTAAACCCTAAACCCTAAAACCCTACACTGAGAAACCTCGAAACACTGCGCCTCAGAGGGCGCCTCGCCCTTGCACCTGGCGGCGCAGCTGGGGAAGCCGGAGCTGGTGAGCCTCCTGCTGGAGCTCGAGGCCAGGACCGGCTCTTTTTGGAATGTGGCTGACTCCTACTAGGGGTTTTGCTTTCAGAGCCACTGGGCTGCTAGAGGGGTTGCTAGACGGGTCTTTGGATCTTCAGGGTCTCAGACGGGCTCACCGCGGGGTTGTTGAGATTCGTTCTCTGGTACATAGAGTTTCTGCGTTGTTGTGCTTTGGTCGATTCGGGAGGGTTTTGCAGGTAGGGTGCCTTAACTGCCATAACTGATGTTGTAGCATGTACCCGTACAGTTTCTCGAGAGCAGACTATCGAACACGAGACTTAGGACAGAAGCTGCATGCCTCAATGTTTCCAGCCCTGAACATTTAACACCAAGTCCGAAACCCATCAACCTGTCCACCAATCGCCGAAGCACATGCACTAGAAAAGACACTGGACAGGAACCTGCTCCCAATGCATTCGTACCCCGTTATCAACCCCACAGCTTTGTGCGGCCGTGGGGCAGTATCTGTGTTTCCAGCACTCCTACAGGTAAGGGATCAAGCCAACTCTGGAATTCGCCGTGCTGGTCTGGGATTGTTGGGATCACGGGTAGGATGTCCGTCGTGCAGTGCGATGAATCCGTTGCAGAACCGTTCTGATCTCCCTGTGTCTCCTCAATCCTGCACTCTCAATCCCAAGCCTCTGCCTCCCCCCTCCATGCAAATTTGGATTTCCTCCCAAAGCAGACATATCCGACCCCTGTGTTTTCCGGTGCCGGGGGGTCCAATCCTTCGTTCTTCCGTGAGGCAGATCCGAACCTCGCATCGACTCAGGCGCGTTCTGAGTGCTTGGGGCTTGGGCTTTCAGTGTTTAGGGCTTAACGGGTTTGGTTTCGGGCTGGATCTGGGGATTGGGGTCTCCATCGTTTCCAGCAGCAATCTCGGATGCAGCTGTTGCACTCGCAAGTTTCTCAGCCTTGAGTGAGCCGATAGAAGAGTGGCAGGGCCTGATCGCCCAGAGCTTTTGAGCTTTTGTGGAGTGGGTTGGTTGCAGTGCTTATCCAAGAGCTGCGTTTACCCTTTTCGTTTCGGATTTTGTTGCCCTCTCCTGCCAGGGATTGCCCCTAAGTCCAATCAAGTCAGAGACTCGAATCGCATCGCAAAGCCAACGTCTTACATCATTAGCCTTGCACCACATCCCGCGCTGTACTCTTCCCATCCTCAAATCTACGCAAGTTCTTTCCCGCAGCCCCCAAGCACAAGAGCCCGGCGCTCAGGGCCAGACGGCGCTGTCCCTGGCATCGAACAAGAAGGTCATCAGCATACTCCAGGAGGCTCCGAAGCGTCTAGGGTTGAAGATTCTGGGCCTTGAACGTTTAGATTTGGGTTTAGGTTTTATTTTGGGGAGTCGAGGGTTTTGGCTTTTGGGGCCCGCTGCTGCATGCATTTGCTTCGGGGTTCACCATTTTCGCGGTTCGAGGCTGTATTCAATTAGAATCGAATGTCTCTCGTCTTCAGCGCTTTAAGGCTTTAGAGTCGTTTGTTCGAATCTATGTCAGGCTTGGGATGCTGCAGATTGAGAGGCAGGAGACCAGAGCCTGCCGGCTACATCAGCACCTTTACGCTTAAACCAACAAAGCCGAACTTCAAGACTGAAAGCCTGATGCACAAGTCCATAATCTTGAATCTGAGACTCCCAAGCGCCGAACTTGCTTAAGACTCGGTGACCTGCCTGCATGTCATATGTGTATGATGCATTGATATATCCTTTTGGCCTCCTTCAGCCGCGAAGATAGCTTCGGTAGCTTACTACATATACGATGTTGTCGCGACTTCAGTCAGCATCGAAGATGCAGCGGCAGTCCTGGAGACGATGCCTTCGTCTTGGCGGCCGGTCACACCTCCCTTGTGGGAGTCTTCCCCGCTTCGCTTGTGGAACCACTCTGAGCGAGTCGACTGCACCCGCCTGGTGGCTGAGCGGCCAGCCTCGGAATGTTTTTGGAAGCAGGGCTGAGGTGGAGCTTCTCTCGCAGCTGGCAGTGCTGCTCATGCCGGATGCGCCCATTTCCGAGGCTTTTCGTGACTTTCCGGTGAAGAAATGCACGGAGTGGGGTTCAAGCCGACTGTGCCCGGATTTGACAGCTTACGGTGTGCTGAAAGCAGCGAATGCTGCATTGTTCGTCGAGTACGATGGCCATTACCGGCACATGGAGCCATCAGGCTTGGCAACGGACATTCGCAAGACCAGTGCGCTGCTGAAATTCGCTCCTGCGGGATCTGTCGTACTGCGCATCGCGCACAAGGAGCGCCAGTGGAAGGACAAGTCTGTGCAAGTGTTGGTGGATTGCTGGCAGTCCGAACACCTGCCCTCCCTGCGCAGGACGGTGCAGCAAGTCGTGGCCTCTTTGCTGCCTTTGTGTCGTGACGAGCTGGTGTCTGGGCTCGTTTCACAGCTGGCACGTGCCCCACCGCAAATCGACAGGCACGCACAAGCCTTTGCAGTGGACGCCGAGTTGGTGGGCAGTGCGTCTAGCAGCAACAGACTAGCAGTTCAAGAGTTCCTCCAGAAGGAGATGCAGCTGACACCAGTCCAAGTTGCCAAGTTGATTGATAGTTTTCCTTCAGTGCTTGGCTGCAACGTTGAGGCAAATCTGAAGCCAACAGTCGAATGGGTCAAAGGGTTGGGCCTAAGCCAATCGCAAGTTGCCACGCTGATCCTCAGACATCCGCAATTGCTTGGCTTGAGCATTGAGGCAAATCTGAAGCCAAAAGTCGACTGGTTCAAAGGGTTGGGCCTGAGCCAGTCGCAGGTTGCCAAGGTGATCCTCGGACGTCCACAAACGCTTGGCTACAGCCTTGAGGCAAATCTGAAGCCAACAGTCGAATGGATCAAGGGCTTGGGCCTGAGCCAGTCGCAGGTTGCCAAGGTGATCTTGCGGCGTCCTCAAGTGCTTGGCTTGAGCATTGAGGCAAATCTGAAGCCAAGTGTCGAATGGATCAAGGGGCTGGGCCTGAGCCAGTCGCAGATTGCCAGGGTGATCGCGACATTTCCCCCAGTGCTTGGCTTGAGCATTGAGGCGAATTTGAAACCAAAAGTCGGCTGGTTCAAATGGTTGGGCCTGAGCCAGTCGCAGGTTGCCAAGGTCATCGCGACTTTTCCACAAGTGCTTGGTTTGAGTATCGAGGCAAACTTAATGCTAAAGTATGTTCTAATTCAGAATTTCTTCCCGGGGGCAGCTGCAACAGAGCTTCTGGCGAGATTACCGCATCTCTGGGGCTATCGGCACACTCGCCTTGAACATCGTCTGCACGTGCTAAAGTCCCAAGGTCAGCTTTTCAAGTTGGCCAGCGCCATGGCTTTGGGGTCAGATGCCTTCAACCGCAGATTCCCAAGTTCGCGCCTGCCAACACAGCGCAAAACAACCTTACTTCGACAAGAACCTTACGGATCATGGGGCTCGAGGAGATGATCAGGGCCGCAGGCTGCAGAGCCATCTGGAGTTTATATAACGGGCTTATAGAGTTGAGTCGAGATCGAAGGCTTTGCGGGCTTGGAATTGATTTAATGGTTGAGTGCTGCAGGTGTAGGGCTCAGAGCCACAGCTCTAAAAGCAATCCTGTTGGATTCGAGGTCTTATCTTGTGCCAGCCAACAGTTCCCGTACCCCAAGCCTCGAACCCGCAGACCCCTTAACACCCCCAGAGTAGTTTTTGCAGAGTAGTTTTTGCAAGCTTCTAACTCAGTCACCCGAGAAGCCGGGGTAGTGGTCAGAAAACGACAGAGAATATTGCCCAAGTGATAGAAGTGATAGGAAGGGTTCCTAAGGTATGTTGCGCTAGATTATTTCTGGCCTTCAAGCCATGGTAGCAGCAGTTCTTGAAAGTGAAGGCTGCGAAAATCTTCAAAGCCACGAAATCTCCGGAACCCTAAGCACTCGGCCCTAAATCCTCGTGCCTTGCATCCTAGAATTTGCAAGCCCGAAGCTCCGCCATTTCAGGCCCTAGGCCCCTGAGATCGACGACTTGCGTGACCCCAGAGGGGATAAAGCCTAGACAACGCTCACCCCGAACCCCGCAACTTTGCAACCCACACGCGAGCCTGACCTTCAACCCCGCTTTTCCAAGTTGCTGGAACTTCCCATGCACCTAGGAGGCACTGCTAACCCTAAACTTCAAGCCCCCTACCCCGCGGCCCTAAATCCCAAAGCCCTTTACACCCGCACCCTGAACCCTCAAGCCACAAAGCCGACCCCCTAAAACCAACACCCGAAACCCTAAACCATACGACCCCTTCATAGAACCCTTGTAGAACCCTCACCCAAAGCCCTGAAATCTCTGACCCCCTCCAAGGCTCTCTCGCAGGGCGTGCTACAGAACCCCAAATCCTTGTAGAACCGTTTTTCTACACCCCAAACCCCAAAACCCTGAACTCTCGAAGGCCGGGGCCAAGATCGAGGTCGCCCTGCTCCCGGCCGAGCCGACTACGAGTTCGGCGGCGTCGCCGAAGCGGCGCGGCTGCGGTTTTTCCGAGCGTGAGATGGGAGTTTCTTAAACGAGTTCCATCTGAAACGGATTCAAGGGTTCGGGGGCTTTAGAAATAAGAACAACGGGGCTCCGAAGTTTTCATACTACGGCATGGGGTGTAAACAGTTTGAGTAATAACGGTGTCTATAAGGTTTTATTATGGGCCAGGTTCATAGGGTTCTGGAAAAGGATCGATATTCGAATTTGCGGAACCAGTGTTCGATCAAGGGCTTATGGAAGAAGCAACCCAAGCCTCCAAGTTGCGAGAGGTGAATCGCTCGTCCCCCCGAGTCTGAAACCCTACGTCCTCCTTTCGTCTCCCCACTTCCGCACCCGAATCCCATCCCAAAGAACGTTGAAGTCCCAAACCAGAAGCCCCAAAGCGGTGAACCTTGGACCCTTAACCTGAAACGCTCAAACTTTGCAGGAAGTCCGAGATCTGAAGACATCGCCTCAAACCCGTAAACTTTAAGCTTAAGGTTTGGGGTTTAGGAGTTTAGGGGTTTAGCGCCCAGATTGGCCCAAAAGAAAGACCCAAAGCCCAAAGCCGTAATTTGGGCCCAGGAAGCCGGCGGCGAAGGGCAAAGCCAAGGCAAAGCCCTTCGCCACGACCTTCGCCACGGCGCAGGCAGTGGGACCCAGGGAGGGTTGCAGGATTCGGGTTTTGGGGGTTTAGGGGTGGAGGATTTCGGGGCTCAAGGTTTAGGTTTTTAGGGGTTTGGGGGTTTAGGGGTTTAGGGGTTCAGGGGTTTAAGGGTTGAGGGGTTTAGGCTTTGGGTGGTTGACGTTGCTTTTGTTTTGAACTAAAGTGTGGAATTACGCGCTTGGTTGTGCTGGCTATTGCTGATGCTGTTTCGCATACCGCGCATTGCAGAAAGGTTCCAGTTACAGTTGATACATGTGTGGATTGCAGGTAGCAGATAGCAGTGTTTTTTGAGCAGTTCCGCCTAGTTTAGGGCTGCTGTTGCTCCATACCTTCTTTGTTTCAACCCTTAGGCGGGTAGGTTTTGAAGGACAGCGGGCTCAGACCAAACCCCCGAGGTTGCAGACGCCCGTGTAGGAATGCAGAGTTTAGGGTTCAGGGTTGTTCAGGCTTTTGCTGGGCTGTAAGTCTTTTTGAATCCTCGAAATCCCAAAGCTTGAACACAATTCTAGCACGGTTCCCGTGGGGCTCATGCCGAAGGCATATGTCTCTCCTTCAGTCCTGAGCCCTTGCTTTGGGGTCCAGAAGTAGCTTTGTATGTACTTTAAACAGGGTCATAAGGGGTTTTAACAAAAGGTACTGTACTTGTAACTCATAACCCGACTTACTAAGGTTCCCTGATCCTCCAAGAAACCATCCCAGCCCTCACAGGCCAGCCTCAGCAACCAAATCAGCATGTTTTCGGACTACGCCGGACTGGAGTGAGGGAGCCGAAGAGCAAAAGGGAAAGGGGTGGCTTGAGGGTTTAGGGTTTAGCAACGGGCCCGTGCGAGTTTTATTCATGTTTGACTCCCAAAAATCTCGGACATGACTTCGTCCGCCGGCCCCATCCATTTTTATGCTGGTTGGATTTCCGATGGCTCAGACCTGACTTTGTCACGCCTGGACTCAGCCAAAGCCTACAGCATGAGTCAGTTGTACAAAGTTCTACACCCCCGAGGGCTAAGCCCAGAGCGGCGCCCAGCATCTGCTCCCAAAGGGACGGTTGGCGACATCTCTTCGCCTAGTGGAATTCTGCGAGAAAACGGCCCAAGAGGTTTCTCGGCAGCAAAGGTGTGCCAATCACGCTTCATGATTCTGGAGTGTTGTTTTTGTGGGATCTGTTCCTTAAAGGAGCCAGCATGAAATTTGAGGCTTCAGGGAAGTTTTAGGATGCCGAATCATGCCGGGAATTATGGTTGCAAGCCTCAACAGGTTGAGGAAATGAAAGTTTGTGGCTTCTGCTTCGGAAAGCCCTAAACACATCTCGAAACTCAAGTGCAAGACCCTGAGCACCCAAAACCCCACAGAATAAGGTGGCACTTAGAACCTTCAGTCCCAAACCGAGAAGGCGAAAAACTCCTGAACTCGAGCTCCATGGGGCCTTCGTCGCCATCCTTCCAACCTACGACGCCGCGGGCTCAAGATGCCGGGGATGCCCTGGTCTTGAGTCCGGACCCTTCGTGACAGAGTGCCCGCCTTTTGAAGTCAGGACTTAGAGTTATGGAGATCACAGGGTGCCGTGCCGGAGCCTAGCCCGAATTCACAGCTTTAGTCCTAAGTGACAAAGCCTCAAACCCCGAAGCATTAATATTGACTTAAACCATCTTAAACCCCAAACCCCAAACCCTGCGCCCTCTCTTCAAGAAAAGTTTCTCCCTGCAGCTTCTGCGAGCATGGACGCATGAGAATGGCGGCCACGCGGAGGCGCTGAGGGTGGGTACCTGCCCCTGAAAATAGGAGCCTGAATAGGGGAGGTTCGGGGTTTGAGCCTATTGAGGATTGCTGCTCGGCGTGTCTTGGGGTTTTCTAGGTTGTGCGGGTTGTGTAGGAGAGGTGGCTTGTGTTTCTGCAGTCTCTTCCACGGCTGATGTTGCCCTGCTATCCCTCGAATGTCTGCCATCTTTACATAGCTACTTCAGCTTTTGCGTCGGTGCATGACCAGAGTTCCTTGGGAGCTGCTGAGCTCCCCGGAGGTGATGCCGCACAGGTGTGCAGAACCAACCAAATTTCGGCTCCACCAAGGCGTAGGCTAGCCGCCACGGCAGAGCTTTCTCTTGCAGGAACATGAGGTCTCCATGCCGGAGAGGGCAGCGGCAGCCTCGTGTTAGCGCCCTCCGCCTGCTGTGCCTTCTTCTCGGAGCTGCGCTGCCGGCCTCCGTTCCGCCCCCCTGGTGGCGGAAGGGTCGACCTCGGGAGAAGTTGGGGAGCAGGGCTGAGGCAGAGCTCCTTTGCCAGCTGGCCGTGCTACTGATGCCGGATGTCCCCTTTGCCGAGGCTTTCCGTGATTTTCCGGTGAAAAAATGCAAACAGTGGGGCTCTAGCAGATTGTCCCCGGATTTGACAGCTTACGGTGTGCTGAAAGCAACCGATGCTGCCCTGTTCATCGAGTACGATGGCCATTATCGTCACATGGAGCCACCAGGCCTGGCCAGGGACATGCGGAAGACCAGTGCGCTCCTGGAGTTCGCTCCTGCGGGGTCTGTCGTAGTCCGCATCGCGCACAAGGAGCGGCAGTGGAAGGACAAATCCACGCAAGTAGTGGTGGACAGCTGGTTTTCTGAGCACGAGCCTTCGCTCCTGAAGGCGCTTAATCAGGTCGCTGCTTCTCTTTTGCATCAGTCCCGTGGCAGGCTGCATCCCACACTAGTTTCACGCCTGGAATCCTTTGCTGCGGAGGAAGGCATCAACGACGATGCAAGTACCCGCGCTAAAGAGGTTGACTTGGTGGGCATGTCAGACAGCAGCAGGCCGAATTTGGAAGAGTTTCTTCGCAAGGAAGTAGGTTTGAGTACTTGGCAGGTTGCCGAGGTGATCGCGAAATGTCCTCAAGTGCTTGGCTACAGCATTGAGGCAAATCTGAAGCCAACAGTCGAATGGATCAAAGGGTTGGGCATGAGCCAGTCGCAGGTTGCCAAGGTGATAGCAGCCTTTCCCGCAGTGCTTGGCTTGAGCATTGAGGCAAATCTGAAGCCGACGGTCGAATGGATGAAGGGGCTGGGCCTGAGCCAGTCGCAGGTTGCCAAGATAATAGCGACCTTTCCTCAAGTGCTTGGCTTGAGCAGTGAGGAAAATCTGAAGCCGACAGTCGACTGGATCAACAGCTTGGGCCTGAGCCAGTCGCAGGTTGCCAAGGTGATCGTCAAACATCCGCAAGTGCTGGGCTTGAGCATTGAAGCAAATCTGAAGCCAACAGTCGACTGGGTCAAGGGGCTGGGCCTGAGCCAGTCGCAGGTTGCCAAGATAATAGCGACCTTTCCTCAAGTGCTTGGCTACAGCATTGAGGCAAATCTGAAGCCAACAGTCGAATGGATCAAGGGGTTGGGCATGAGCCAGTCGCAGGTTGCCAAGGTGATCCTCAGACACCCGCAAGTGCTTGGCTTGAGCATTGAAGCAAATCTGAAGCCAAGTGTCGAATGGATCAAGGGGCTGGGCCTGAGCCAGTCGCAGGTTGCCAAGGTGATCGCAAGGTTTCCGTCAGTGCTTGGGTACAGCATTGAGGCGAATCAGAAGCCAACCGTCAAGTGGATCAAGGGGTTGGGCCTGAGCCAGTCGCAGGTTGCCAAGGTGATCGTCAAACATCCGCCAGTGCTTGGTTACAGCCTTCAGGCAAATCTGAAGCCGACCGTCGAGTGGATCAAAGGACTGGGCCTGAGCCCGTCGCAGGTTGCCAAGGTGATAGCAGCCTTTCCCGCAGTGCTTGGCTACAGCATTGAGGCAAATCTGAAGCCGACGGTCGAATGGATGAAGGGGCTGGGCCTGAGCCAGTCGCAGGTTGCCAAGGTAATCCCTAACTTTCCCCAAGTGCTTAGCTTGAGCATCGACATGAATCTCTCAATGAAGCACCTTCTGCTGCAGCGATACTTTCCTGGAGTGCAGGCGGCAAAGTTGCTGGCGCAAACACCTCGCCTTTGGAGCTACAGGTATGCTCGACTTGAACATCGTCTTGCCGTCCTGAAAGCACAAGGCCAGCTCTCCAAACTTGCGAGTGCCATGACTCTTCCCCTGGATGTATTTACTCGCAGATGCTGTGGATGCATGGTTATAGGGACGCATGTGTCGACAAAGCGCTGCACAGCAAAAAGATTTTTTCATGGAGCTTCTACCCGATATATTGGCGGTGTTTTGGCTCCTTCTAAGGCCTGACGCCTTCGGCTGAGGATAGCGTAAAGATGCACTAAGTGTGTCTCATATAAGCAGGAAGGTTTCAGGCTGACCCCTTGCTGCTCAAGGAACTGGACATGGTACCTCCGAGATTGAGGGCTTCTCTCAGCTTGTACCGCGAAGGCCCTGTCGGGTTCAACAACCTGTACCCATCTCCCCAGTTGCATTCAGCCAAAATCCTTGAGTCCAGCTCTGGTACAAGAACCCCAAAGATGCCGGAGTTCTGCAGCTAACATGCACTTATTCCCAATCAACCTTTCGCTGTATGTGCCACCAAACCGTTGAAGAACATTTAGCTGTATCAATGCTCATCTTTCTGTGTGCGAGCCCCCATGAGACTCGAAATCGGTCCCCTTCACCATGCTGCTGAGTAGCCTTGTCCGTTTGTCGTTGACTTCGCCCAATGCCTTAAGCTCCCTGCAAGCCCCCAACCCACCGCTCCGTTGGAGGCCCGCGCAAACCCCAACCAGCTCACGACCAAGGCTGCAAACCAGCGATTTTTTCCGGTGCATTTTAGGAGTGGAGGGATTCTTTGGAGAAGCGCAGGTCCAAGCCCTTTGCCGCTTTAGGAGGTTGTAGGCTGAAAGAGGGCTGTGTAGGGGAAACGGGCACCGGCTCATGGATCTCCCCAGGACCCCCCTATACAGGCCCCTTGCCAGGACCCAGCACCGGGGCTTGTTTTGAGTTGCGACAAAGAGAGTACCCAAACTCTCAACTCCCTCCATCCTGAGCAGAAAGGCAAACAGCAGACAACAGGGAGCAGAGTGCAGAGAGCGTAGAGTATAGAGGGCAGAGAGCGAGCAGAGAACGGAGAGCAGAGCGCAGAGCACAGAGAGCATACACTAGATAGCAGAGCGCAGATTCTGCGCAGAGCGCAGAGTGCAGACTTTGCGCACAGTGCAGAGCGCATAGAGCATATAGAATATAGAGAGCAGAGCGCAGAGAGCAGAAAAGCTTTGTAGCCTATTGCGTGAGGCCCTAGACCTTGAAGCCCGCAACCTTCCAACCGTCAACCCGGAACCTTGAAAGCGACCCGTCCAGGAACCTTACACCCTAAATTTTTGGAACCCTGAACCCGGAGTCCCCGAAGTTCCATAGAGCCGAAACAAACTCGAAGATCAACGAACCCCGAAAAACTCCGTTGAGCGAAGTTAGGGAGGCTGCACCCATCCATTTCAGCCTACATTCGGCCGAGAGAGCCAGGTCCTCCAAATGGGGTTACATCCCCCCATTTCACTCTACATGCAAAAACTCAGCTGAATAAGATGGTAGCATGTAAGCCCACTATTGAGTAGGAACGGGGATCTTAACCCCAAGTGTTGAAGTGCATGCTATAGAGGCAGCAAGCTGTTGGAGAACCTGGGATGGAATTTTTCACTTTGGGATTTTGCCATGGCTTATGATGTGTACTGTAAAAAGAGCTCTGGCCTTGAAGCTTTTCAACACTTGATCGTAGACTAGCCAAGACTCCAGACCCTAACACCATACTTTAACAAATCCAGGAGCATCTAGTACAAAACTGGCTATCAACCTTCCTAAACTGCGATGCCTAGGAAAAAACCAGCCGAACCCTAAACACTGAAAGCCCTAAACCCAAAGAACCATAAACCCATAAAGCCTTAAACCCTAAACCCTAAAACCCTACACTGAGAAACCTCGAAACACTGCGCCTCAGAGGGCGCCTCGCCCTTGCACCTGGCGGCGCAGCTGGGGAAGCCGGAGCTGGTGAGCCTCCTGCTGGAGCTCGAGGCCAGGACCGGCTCTTTTTGGAATGTGGCTGACTCCTACTAGGGGTTTTGCTTTCAGAGCCACTGGGCTGCTAGAGGGGTTGCTAGACGGGTCTTTGGATCTTCAGGGTCTCAGACGGGCTCACCGCGGGGTTGTTGAGATTCGTTCTCTGGTACGTAGAGTTTCTGCGTTGTTGTGCTTTGGTCGATTCGGGAGGGTTTTGCAGGTAGGGTGCCTTAACTGCCTTAACTGATGTTGTAGCATGTACCCGTACAGTTTCTCGAGAGCAGACTATCGAACACGAGACTTAGGACAGAAGCTGCATGCCTCAATGTTTCCAGCCCTGAACATTTAACACCAAGTCCGAAACCCATCAACCTGTCCACCAATCGCCGAAGCACATGCACTAGAAAAGACACTGGACAGGAACCTGCTCCCAATGCATTCGTACCCCGTTATCAACCCCACAGCTTTGTGCGGCCGTGGGGCAGTATCTGTGTTTCCAGCACTCCTACAGGTAAGGGATCAAGCCAACTCTGGAATTCGCCGTGCTGGTCTGGGATTGTTGGGATCACGGGTAGGATGTCCGTCGTGCAGTGCGATGAATCCGTTGCAGAACCGTTCTGATCTCCCTGTGTCTCCTCAATCCTGCACTCTCAATCCCAAGCCTCTGCCTCCCCCCTCCATGCAAATTTGGATTTCCTCCCAAAGCAGACATATCCGACCCCTGTGTTTTCCGGTGCCGGGGGGTCCAATCCTTCGTTCTTCCGCGAGGCAGATCCGAACCTCGCATCGACTCAGGCGCGTTTTGAGTGCTTGGGGCTTGGGCTTTCAGTGTTTAGGGCTTAACGGGTTTGGTTTCGGGCTGGATCTGGGGATTGGGGTCTCCATCGTTTCCAGCAGCAATCTCGGATGCAGCTGTTGGACTCGCAAGTTTCTCAGCCTTGAGTGAGCCGATAGAAGAGTGGCAGGGCCTGATCGCCCAGAGCTTTTGAGCTTTTGTGGAGTGGGTTGGTTGCAGTGCTTATCCAAGAGCTGCGTTTACCCTTTTCGTTTCGGATTTTGTTGCCCTCTCCTGCCAGGGATTGCCCCTAAGTCCAATCAAGTCAGAGACTCGAATCGCATCGCAAAGCCAACGTCTTACATCATTAGCCTTGCACCACATCCCGCGCTGTACTCTTCCCATCCTCAAATCTACGCTTCTTTCCCGCAGCCCCCAAGCACAAGAGCCCGGCGCTCAGGGCCAGACGGCGCTGTCCCTGGCATCGAACAAGAAGGTCATCAGCATACTCCAGGAGGCTCCGAAGCGTCTAGGGTTGAAGATTCTGGGCCTTGCACGTTTAGGTTTGGGTTTAGGTTTTAGTTTGGGGAGTCCAGGGTTTTGGCTTTTGGGGCCCGCTGCTGCATCCATTTGCTTCGGGGTTCACGATTTTCGCGGTTCGAGGCTGTATTCAATTAGAATCGAATGTCTCTCGTCTTCAGGGCTTTGAGGCTTTAGAGTCGTTTGTTCGAATCTATGTCAGGCCTGGGATGCTGCAGATTGAGAGGCAGGAGACCAGAGCCTGCCGGCTACATCAGCACCTTTACGCTTAAACCAACAAAGCCGAACTTCAAGACTGAAAGCCTGATGAACAAGTCCATAAATTTGAATCTGAGAATCCCAAGGGCCGAACTTGCTTAAGACTCGGCGACCTGCCTGCAGTTCATATGTGTATGATGCATTGATATATCCTTTTGGCCTCCTTCAGCCGCGAACATAGCTTCGGTAGCTTACTACATATACGATGTTGTGGTGACTTCAGTCAGCGTCGAAGATGCAGCGTCAGTCCTGGAGACGATGCCTTCGTCTTGGCGGCCGGTCACATCTCCCTTGTGGGAGTCTTCCCCGCTTCGCTTTCGGAACCACTTTGAAGGAGTCGACTCCACCCGCCTGGTGGTTGAGCGGCCAGCCTCGGAATGTCTTTAGAAGCAGGGCTGAGGTAGAGCTCCTCTCGCAGTTGGCAGTGCTACTGATGCCTGATGAGCCCATTGCCGAGGCCTTCCGTGATTTTTCGGTGAAGAAATGCAGCGAGTGGGGTTCTAGCAGATTGTGCCCGGATTTGTCAGCATATGGTGTGCTGAAAGCAACCGAGGCTGCCCTGTTCATTGAGTACGATGGCTATTATCGGCACATGGAGCCGCCGGGCTTGGCTACAGACACTCGAAAGACGAGCGCGCTGCTGAAGTTCGCTCCTGCAGGATCTGTCGTAGTACGTATCGCGCACAAGGAGCGACGGTGGAAGGACAAATCCACGCAAGTATTGGTGGACTGTTGGCAGTCCGAAGACGTGCCCTCTCTTCGCAAAACGGTGCGGCAAGTTGTAGTTTCTTTGCTGCAGTCGTGTCGTGCTGAGCTGGTGCCCAGCCTCGTTTCACTGCTGGAGCAACGTGCCCCATCGCAAATCGACAGGGAAGCAACAACCTTTGCAGTGGACGCAGAGTTGGTGGGCAGTGCGTTTAGCAGCAACAGACTAGCAGTTCAAGAGTTTCTCCAGAAGGACACACAGCTGACAACAGTCCAAGTTGCCAAGGCCATTGCTAGGTTTCCTACAGTGCGTGGCTGCAGCGTTGAGGCAAATCTGGGGCCGACAGTCGAATGGATCAAGGGGCTGGGCCTGAGCCACTCGCATGTTGCCAAGGCGATCGCGACCTATCCGCCGGTGCTTGGCTTGAGCATTGAGGCAAATCTGAAGCCAACAGTCAAGTGGATCAAAGGCTTGGGCTTGAGCCAGTCGCAGATTGTCAAGGTGATCGCGACCTTTCCCCCAGTGCTTGGCTTGAGCATTGAGGCAAATCTGAAGCCAACAGTTGAGTGGATCAAAGGGCTGGGCCTGAGCCAGTCGCAGGTTGCCAAAGTTATCGTGACCTTTCCCTCAGTACTTGGCTTGAGCATTGAGGCAAATCTGAAGCCAACAGTCAAGTGGATCAAAGGCTTGGGCTTGAGCCAGTCGCAGATTGTCAAGGTGATCGCGACCTTTCCCCCAGTGCTTGGCTGCAGCATTGAGGCAAATCTGAAGCCGACAGTCGAGTGGATCAAAGGGTTGGGCCTGAGCCAGTCGCAGGTTGCCAAGGTCATCGCGATGTTTCCGCCAGTGCTTGGTTACAGCATTGCGGCAAATCTGAAGCCGAAGGTCGAGTGGATCCAGGGGCTGGGCCTGAGCCAGTCGCAGGTTGCCAAGGTGATCCTCAGACATCCGCCAGTGCTTGGCTATAGCATTGAGGAAAATCTGAAGCCGACAGTCGAATGGATCAAAGGGCTGGGCCTGAGCCAGTCGCAGGTTGCCAAGCTGATGTCGACATTTCCGCAAGTGCTTGGCTTGAGCATTGAGGAAAATCTGAAGCTAACAGTCGAGTGGATCAAGGGGTTGGGCTTGAGCCAGTCGCAGGTTGCCAAGGTGATTGAGGCAAATCTGAAGCCAACAGTTGAGTGGATCAAAGGGCTGGGCTTGAGCCAGTCGCAGGTTGCCAAAGTTATCGTGACCTTTCCCTCAGTACTTGGCTTGAGCATTGAGGCAAATCTGAAGCCAACAGTCAAGTGGATCAAAGGCTTGGGCTTGAGCCAGTCGCAGATTGTCAAGGTGATCGCGACCTTTCCCCCAGTGCTTGGCTTGAGCATTGAGGCAAATCTGAAGCCGACAGTCGAGTGGATCAAAGGGTTGGGCCTGAGCCAGTCGCAGGTTGCCAAGGTGATCGCGACCTTTCCGCAAGTGCTAAGTTTGAGTATTGAAGCAAACTTAAAGGTAAAATATGTGTTATTACAGAGCTTCTTCCCGGGCGCAGCTGCAAGAGAACTTCTGGCGAGAGCGCCGTGTCTCTGCGGCTATCGGCACACTCGGCTTGAACATCGTCTGCATGTGCTAAAGTCTCAACATCAGCTTTCGAAGTTGGCCAGCGCCATGACTTTGGGGTCAGATGCCTTCAACAGCAGATTCCCAAGTTCACGGCTGCCACACAGTGGAAAACAACCTGGCTTCGACAAGAGCCTTACGGATCATGGGGTTCGAGGTGTTTAGGGCAGTAGGCGTCGGGGTAGTTTTCAGAAAAGACTGAGACTATTGATTATTATTGTCCAAGTGATAGGAAGGGTTTATCAAGTTATGTTACGCTACGGTTATTTCTGGGCTACAAGCCATATTACCGCCATATTAGCAGCACTTCTTGAAAGTGAAGGCTGCGAACATCTTGGAAGGTCCGAGATCTCCGGAAGCTCAAGTACTCGACCCGAAATCCTCGTGCCGCGCCGTGCACCCCAGAATCTGCACGCCCAAAGCTCGGAACCGCAGATTTCAAGCCCTATGCCCCCAAGATCCACGACTTACCTGACCCCAGACGCGATAAATCCTAAACAACGGTCACCCCGAACCCCTCAACTTTGCAACCCACCCCAAGCTTGGCAATCGTAAACTTCAAGCCCGGAATTTCCAAAACTAAATCCCAAAGCCTCAAAACCTGAACCCTGAACCCTAAAGCCTTGTTGTCGACACTCTAAACCCAAAGCCCCAAACCCGTAAAACCAAAACCCTAAACCACAAACCCTTCATAAAACCCTTATAGAATCCTGCCCTAAAATCCCCGACCCTGCACCCCCACCTTTCTGCCGACACCCAAACATATCTCAGAGGCCGGCGTTCAACAACACAGAGCCAAACAGCCCTAACACCAAAATCCTTCTAAACCCCAAAAGTGCCAAAACCTCAAAACTCTCTCAGAGGCCGGGGCCAAGATCGAGGCCGCCCAGCCCCCGGCCGAGCCGACCTCGGGTTCGGCGGCGTCGCCGAAGCGGTCCGGCGGCGCTTTTTCCGGGCGTGAGATGGAAAGACTAGGATTCTTTTAAAGAGTTTCTTAAAGGAGTTCTATAAGGTATCTGAAACGGATTCAAGGGTTCGGGGGCTTTAGAAGCAAGAGCAAGGAGTTTGTTGTCTTTTCTCACGGGGTTGTCTTACAGGGGCCTGAGGTTCCTTTAACAAAGTTCTGTAAGGGCTCTACAAGGGTCTACAAGCGTCTATAGGGCTTAAAACCTACTAGGTTCATGGGGCCTTGGGCAGTATAACCTGACTCCGAAGTTTTCATAGTACGGTATGGGGTGTAAACAGTTTCAGTAATTACCGTGTTTAGAAGGTTTTATTATGGGCCAGGTTCATGGGTTCTGGATAAGGATCGATTTTCGAATGTACGGAACTAGTGTCCGATCAAGGGCTTATGCAAGAAGCAACCCAAGCCTCCAACTTTCAAGGTTTGAATCGCTCGTCCCCCGAGTCTGAAACCCTACGTCCTCCTTCCGTCTCCCCACTTCCGCACCCGAATCCCATCCAAAGAACGCTGAAGTCCCAAACCAGAAGCCCCAAAACGGTGAACCTTGGACCCTTAACCTGAAACACTCAAACTTTGCAGGAGGTCCGAGATCCGAAGACATCGCCTCAAACCCTTAAACTTTATAAGCTTAAGGTTTGGGGTTTAGGGGTTTAGCGCCCAGATTGGCCCAAAGGACGACCTAAAGCCCTAGCCGGTGCTGGGGCCCAGGAAGCCGGCGGCGAAAGGCAAAGCCAAGGCAAAGCCCTTCGCCACGACCTTCGCCACGGCGCAGGCAGTGGGACCTAGAGAGGGTTTCAGGATTCGGGTTTTGAGGTTTTTAGGGTTTGGGGGTTGAGGATTCCGTGGCTTAGGGTTTACGGTTTAGGGGACTGTTTAGGGGTTCAGGGGTCTAGGGGTTTACGGGTTTAGGTGGTTGACGTTGCTTTCGTTTTGACCTAAAGTGTGGAATTCAGCGCTTGGTTGTTCTGGCTATTGCTGTTGCTGTTTCGCATACCGCGCATTGCAGAAAGGTTCCAGTTGCAGTTGATACATGTGTGGCTTGCAGGTAGCAGATAACAGTGTTTTTGAGCAGTTCCACCTAAGCTACGGCTGCTGTTGCTCCATACCTTCTTTGTTTCAACCCTTAGGCGGGTAGGTTTTGAAGGACAGCGGGCTCAGACCAAACACCCGAGGTTGCAGACGGCCGTGTGTAGGAACGCAGAATTTAGGGTTCAGGGCTGTTCAGGCTTTAGCGGGGCTGTACGTCTTTTTTGAAAAATCGAAATCCCAAAGCTTGAACACAATCCTAGCACAGTTCCCGCGGGGCTCATGCCGAAGGCATATGTTTCTCCTTCAGTCCTGAGCCCTTGCCTTTGGGGTCCAGAAGTAGCTTTGTATGTACTTTAAACAGGGTCATAAGGGGTTTTAACAAAAGGTACTGTACTTGTAACTCATAACCCGACTTACTAAGGTTCCCTGATCCTCCAAGAAACCATCCCAGCCCTCACAGGCCAGCCTCAGCAACCAAATCGGCATGTTTTCCGACTACGCCGGACTGGAGTGAGGGAGCCGAAGAGCAAAAGGGAAGGGGGGGGGGGCGGCTCGAGGGTTTAGGGTTTAGCAACGGGCCCGTGCGAGTTTTATTCATGTTTGACTCCCAAAAATCTCGGACATGACTTCGTCCGCCGGCCCCTTCCATTTTTATGCAGGTTGGATTTCCGATGGCTCAGACCTGACTTTTGTCACGCCTGGACTCAGCCAAAGCCTACAGCATGAGTCAGTTGTACAAAGTTCTACACCCCCGAGGGCTAAGCCCAGAGCGGCGCCCAGCATCTGCTCCCAAAGGGACGGTTGGCGACATCTCTTCGCCTAGTGGAATTCTGCGAGAAAACGGCCCAAGAGGTTTCTCGGCAGCAAAGGTGTGCCAATCACGCTTCATGATTCTGGAGTGTTGTTTTTGTGGGATCTGTTCCTTAAAGGAGCCAGCATGAAATTTGAGGCTTCAGGGAAGTTTTAGGATGCCGAATCATGCCGGGAATTATGGTTGCAAGCCTCAACAGGTTGAGGAAATGAAAGTTTGTGGCTTCTGCTTCGGAAAGCCCTAAACACATCTCGAAACTCAAGTGCAAGACCCTGAGCACCCAAAACCCCACAGAATAAGGTGGCACTTAGAACCTTCAGTCCCAAACCGAGAAGGCGAAAAACTCCTGAACTCGAGCTCCATGGGGCCTTCGTCGCCATCCTTCCAACCTACGACGCCGCGGGCTCAAGATGCCGGGGATGCCCTGGTCTTGAGTCCGGACCCTTCGTGACAGAGTGCCCGCCTTTTGAAGTCAGGACTTAGAGTTATGGAGATCACAGGGTGCCGTGCCGGAGCCTAGCCCGAATTCGCAGCTTTAGTCCTAAGAGACAAAGCCTCAAACCCCGAAGCATTACGTAATATTGACTTAAACTCCAAACCGTGAGCCCCAAGCCAGCCCTCTCTTCAAGAGCAAAGTTTCGCCCTGCAGCTTCTGCGAGCATGGACGCATGAGAATGGCGGCCACCCGGAGGCCCTGAGGGTGGGTGCTTGCCCTTTAAGGCCAAGAGGGCTTGAGAGCTGAAACTAGGAGCCTGAATGGGTGAGGTTCGGGGTTTGAGCCTATTGAGGATTGCTGGTCGGCGTGTTTTGGGGGTCTTCTAGGTTGTGCGGGTTGTGTAGGAGAGGTGGCTTGTGTTTCTTTAGTCTCTTCCGCGGCTGATGTTGCCCCGCTATCCCTTGAGTGTCTGCCATCTTTACATAGCAACTTTACCTTTTGCGTCGGTGCATGGCCACAGTTACTTGGGAGCTGCTGAGCTCCCAGGAGGTGATGCCGCACGGGCGTGCGAAACCAGTCGAATTTCGGCTCCATCAAGGCGTAGGCTGGCCCCCATGGCAGAGCTTTCTCTTGCAGGAACATGAGGCCTCCATGCCGGAGAGGGCAGCCTCGTGTTAGCGCCCTCCGCCTGCTGTGCCTTCTTCTCGGAGCTGCGCTGCCTGCCTCCGTTCCGCCCCTCTGGTGGCGGAAGGGTCGACCTCGAGAGAAGTTGGGGAGCAGGGCTGAGGCAGAGATCCTTTGCCAACTGGCCGTGCTACTGATGCCGGATGTACCCATCGCCGAGGCTTTCCGTGATTTTCCGGTGAAGAAATGCAAACAGTGGGGTTCCAGCAGACTGTCCCCGGATTTGACAGCTTGCGGTGTACTCAAAGCAACCGATGCTGCCCTGTTCATCGAGTATGATGGTCATTATCGTCACATGGAGCCACCGGGCCTGGCCAGGGACGTGCGGAAGACCAGCGCGCTGCTGAAGTTCGCTCCTGCGGGATCTGTCGTAGTCCGCATCGCGCACAAGGAGCGACAGTGGAAGGACGAGTCAGTGCAATTGCTGGTGGAGAGCTGGTGTGCTGAGCGCGAACCTTCGCTCCTGACCGTCCTAAATCAAGTCGCTGCTTCTCTTTTGAAGGAGTGCCGTGGCAGGCTGCATCCCACGGTAGCTTCACGCCTGGAAGCCTTCGCTGCAGAGGAAGGCATCAACAAGGATGCAAGTACCCACGCTAAAGAGGCCGAGCTGGTTGGCATGTCAGACAGCAGCAGGCCGAATTTGGAAGAGTTTCTCTGCAAGGAAGTAGGTTTGGATACTTGGCAGGCTGCCAAGGTGATCGCGACCTTTCCCCCTGTGCTGAGCTTGAGCATTGAGGCAAATTTGAAGCCGACAGTGGAATGGATCGAGGGCTTGGGCCTGAGCCAGCCGCAGGTTGCCAAGATGATCGCCAAGTTTCCTAAAGTGCTCAGCTACAGCATTGAATCAAACCTGAAGCCAACAGTGCGATGGACCCGGGGGCTGGGCCTGAGCCAGTCGCAGGCCGCAAAGGTCATTGCGATGTTTCCGCAAGTGCTTGGCTACAGCATTGGGGCAAATCTGAAGCCGACGGTCGAATGGATGAAGGGGCTGGGCCTGAGCCAGTCGCAGGTAGCCAAGATGATCGCGACCTGTCCATCAGTGCTTGGCTTGAGCATTTCGGCAAATCTGAAGCCGACAGTTGAATGGATCAAGGGGCTGGGCCTGAGCCAGTCGCAAGTTGCCAAGGTGATCGCGAGGTGTCCCCAAGTGCTTAGCTACAGCATTGAAGCAAACCTGAAGCCAACAGTCGACTGGATCAAAGGGTTGGGCCTGAGCCAGTCGCAGGTTGCCCAGGTGATCTTGCAGCGTCCGCAAGTACTTGGCTATAGCATTGAGGAAAATCTGAAGCCAACAGTCGAGTGGGTCAAGGGGCTGGGCCTGAGCCAGTCGCAGGTTGCCAAGGTGATCTTGCAGCATCCGCAAGTGCTTGGCTTGAGCATTGAGGCAAATCTGAAGCCGACAGTCGAATGGATCAAGGGGTTGGGCCTAAGCCAATCACAGGTTTCCAAGCTGATCGCGACATTTCCGCCAGTGCTTGGCTTGAGCATTGAGGCGAATCTGAAGCCGACAGTTGAATGGATCAAGGGGCTGGGCCTGAGCCAGTCGCAAGTTGCCAAGGTGATCTTGCAGCGTCCGCAAGTGCTTGGCTTGAGCATTGAGGCAAATCTGAAGCCAGCGGTAGAATGGATGGAGGGGCTGGGGATGAGCAAGTGTCAAGTTGGCAACTTGATTGCAACATTTCCTCCGGTGTTTGGCCTTCGTATCGACACAAATCTGTCAGTGAAGCACAGTCTTTTACAGAAATATTTCCCCGGAGCGCAGGCAGCACATATGCTGGCCCAAACACCTCACCTTTGGAGTTATAGGTATGCTCGACTTAGGAACCGCTGTCGGTGTTGAAATCTCACAACCAGCTCTCCAAACTTGCGGGCGCCATAACACTTCCTCTGGATGCATTCAGTCGCAGATATCCTGGGATATGATGCAGGAGGCGCACGTCGACAGATGGAAAAACCAGGAACGACCTATGGTATCTTGTCTCATCGAAACGGCCTCGGGGGTCCGATGTATCGACCTTGGGATAGAAAGTGGGAATCAAGCTGATGCCTTGCTATTAGAGGAACTACATAGTACCTCGGGATTGCGGCTTCTCCGAGCTTCAAACGCCAGGGCTTTGCGGGTTCATCCATCCCCTGTCCCCCCAAACCAGAACTAGGCATCGATTTGGGATGAGTTTTAGTTTCCCTTGTTGTTGAATATAGAGCCTTAATTATGAATGAATTTAAGGGACTGTAGGAATCGACACCTAGAGAAACTCGTTGAGCCCAAGAGCCGGTATCTCCGAAGGTCCAACTCTTGCGGTTTCGGATTTAAGGTTTACCCAGACTGACCAATTTTTCTGCAGAGCAAAGATGTCCAATGCCTTTTGTCATGCGCGTGTTCTGCCACTGCAGACACCGAGGTATGCCCACTCAGGCTTTGATTGTCCGACACTCGTTGCCTACACGACAGAGTCCCGATCGACATCGGTTCCTATCACTATGTTTCTATGTAGTCTTGCCCTTCTGTCGTTCTTTTTTCCCAAAGCCCCAAGCTCCCTAGAAGACCCCAAGCCGTAGCTCCGTCGCAGGCCCGGGCCAGCCCCAACCAGCTCACGACCAAGGCGGGAAGGGAAGCCCCTCTGGGATGGTTTTTTAGGGGGCTTTTGCTTTCGGTGCAACCTGCCGTCCGGAGCCCGAACTCATGACAAAACCCTAAACCCTGAACTCAATCAAGAAGCCTTGAGCGTCCATTAAGATTCGAGCTCTACGTCGCATGCCGCCACCTCCGGCCAGTCCAGGGAGAGCCCACTACCCCCTTAGTCGAATAGATGAGGGTTTAGGGAGTTTAGGGTTCGGTTTAGGGTTTAAGGATGTTTAAGGTCTAGGGTTTAGGGTGCAAGTAAGGGTTTAGGGTAGATTAGATCCTATTCCTTGGTTCAACAGTGTTGGTCCGTTTGCGCCACCCAGCCATGATCCATCGCAGCCCTCGAATGGCTCGATCCCCTGCATTCCGCCTTTAGTCAGCGTCGGTGAAACCCTCACAAGGAAAAGCTGTAAAGTTTCATTCTAGCCGCAGGTTGAAGTTGCCGACTTGGGCCTGAGGCTCTGAACTTCATGTTGCTTCATAGATGGGAGAATTTAGAAAAGTTTGAACTAAACAACAAAAGCTTTAGAGGCCCAACCGCGGAAGGGATCGGTAAAGCTCACGGGTCGCGAAAAACCCTCCTTGCCCTAACCCTAAACCCCAAGCGTTGATGTACCCGCCATAGGCGCAGGAAGCTGTTGGAGAACTGGAACGGAATTTTACACTTTCGAACTTTGCCGCGTCCTATGATGTGTACTGTAAAAGGAGTTCTGGCCTTGAACCTGTTCAACGCTTCATCATAGACTAATTAAGACTCCAGACTCTTAAAGCTCTCTAGAGAGTAGCAGGAGCATCTAGTCTAAGAAGGTTATAAACCTTCATAAACTGCTTTGAAAGGGCATCTAGTGCAAACAGGGTATGAATCTTCATGAGCTGCTATGAAAACCAGGTTAGAGACGCCCAAAAAACTGCGCCAGAGGGCGCCTCGCCCTTGCACCTGGCGGCGCAGCTGGGGAAGCCCGAGCTGGTGAGCCTCCTCCTGGAGCTCGAGGCCGCCAGGATTTTTGGGGTTTAGGGTTCTTTGGGTTCTTTGGGTTCTTTGGGTTCTTAGGGTTCTTTGGGTTTAGGGTTATTTGGGTTTGGGTTTAGAGTTGTGAGCCTCCTTCTGGAGCTCGAGGCCAGGACCGGCTCTTTGCATCTAGGGCTACAGTAGTTCGAAGAGGGCTCCTGTTAGGATTACTTTAAGGGCTACTTTTTTTGAACAGGCTTCCTGTTAGGGTTGCTTTAAGGCCTACTTTAAGGGCTTTTGGAAAGGTTGCTAGAAGGATTCCCTGAAGGCTTCAGGGTGCCGGGCTTCTTTTTTTGTGGTGTGGGGTTTTGGATTTGGAGGAGTTTTCATCTGATCTGGGCTTTGGATCTTCGCGGTCTTACAGGGGCTCACTGCGGGATTGTTGAGATTCGTTTTTTGGTATGTCGGGTTTTTGCGTTGTTGTTCTTGGTCGAACCGTGCGGGTTTCGCAGATAGGCTTGCCTTAGCTGATGTTGTAGCATGTCCTCGTGCAGTTTCTCGAGTGCATACCATCTGGGATTGCAGAGATCACGGGTAATCAGGATGTCCAACGTGCTGTGCGATGAGCCCGTTGGTGATCTTTCTGGTCTCCCTGTGTCTCCCCAATCCTGAGCTCTCAATCCCACATCGCTGCACTGCACCTCTAGACCCTCCAGTCGCTGAGGCCCCGGGCCCCTCCTCAGCCTCCCAGCCCTGAGCAACTTTCGATTTCAACCCAAGGCAGACATGTCCCGACCCCTATCTTTTCGGGTTTCGGTCCAGGGGTTTGGGGTCAAAACCTTCGTCACTCCGTCAGGCAGATCCCAACCTCGCGTCGACCCAGGCGCGGTTTTAGTTGTGCTTCGGGCTTAGGGCTCTGTGGGCTCCGGGTCTTGGGGTTTCGGGTTTGGGACCCAGGGTTTGAGGACAACGGCATAAGGTTTAGGCGGCTTAGGGATAAGGCTGGATCGGCGGATTGGGGCTTCCATAGTTTAAAGCAGGCATCTTGGATCCAAGCCTTCAGCTTGTCCAAGAGCAGCGTGTACTTTTTGCCTCTGGTCTCGGGTTGTCGTGCCTGCTCCTGCCGTCGGCTCATAAAACCTGACGTACAGGGCTGCAAGCTCAAGAGCCTTAGAGAATCTTGGGCTAACTCAAGAATGATTGTCCCTAAGTAAAAATCAAGTCAGAAACTCGAATCGCATCGCAAAGCCTACACGCGACAATCCAAAACGTACTCCCTACATCCCAAGTCTACCCAACTCCCGCAACCCCAAGCACAAGAGTCCGGCGCCCTAGGGCCAGACAGCGCTGTCGCTGGCGTCGAACAAGAAGGTCATAAGCATACTCCAAGAGGCTCCGAAGCGTCTAGAGTTGAGGCTTTGGGGCCTATACATTTAGGCTTGAGTTTAGGCTTTATTTGGGGTTTGGTTTAGATAATTTGGGAGTTCAGGGTGTAGGGTTTCGGGGCATGCAGCTTGAAGCCAGGAATTTCTGCTTGAGGGTTCGAGCCTTGGAATTTTCTCGGTTCGAGGCTGTCTTTAGTCAGAATCCATGGTCGAGCGCTTCAGGGCTTTATGGCTTTAGAGCCTTCGCTTCGCGAATTTGCGCGTTGGAGTTGCGATGTTGCTGGAAGCTGCCAGGTATTAGCCTGTGGGGGGCCAGATCCTGTTAGGTAAATCACCTCCTTCATGCTGAAACCAAAATCAGAACCGTAATCTCGAACCTGAAATATCCAAAATCCCAAACTTGTGGTGTTGTTTCGGTGATCTACCTGCATTTAATGTGTGCATGATATATCCTTTGGCCTCCTTCAGCCGGGCAGATAGCTTCGGTAGCCTACAGTACTTCACGATGTTGTCGTGACTTTAGTCAGCATCGAAGATGCAGCATCAGTCCTGGAGACGATGCCTTCGTTTTGGGGGCCGGTCACATCTCCCTTGTGGGAGTCTTCCCCGCTTCGCTTTCGGAACCACTTTGAGGGAGTCCACTGCACCGGCCTGGTGGCTGAGCGGCCAGCCTCGGAATGTTTTTGGAAGCAGGGCTGAGGTGGAGCTTCTCTCGCAGCTGGCAGTGCTGCTCATGCCAAACGCGCCCATTGCCGAGGCTTTCCGCGATTTCCCTGTGCAAAAATCCAAGGAGTGGGGTTCAAGCAGACTGTCCCCGGATTTGACAGCTCACGGTGTGCTCAGAGCAACTGATGCTGCACTCTTCATCGAATACGATGGCTATTATCGGCACATGGATCCAGCAGGCTTGGCAACAGACATTCGCAAGACGAGTGCACTATTGAATTTCGCTCCTGCGGGATCTATCGTACTGCGCATCGCGCACAAGGAGCGACAGTTGAAGGACAAGTCCACGCAAGTAGTGGTGGACAGCTGGTATGCTGAGCACGAGCCTTCGCTCCTGAACGCCCTCAACCAAGTCGCTGCTTCTCTTTTGAAGGAGTGCCGTGGCAGGCTGCATCCCAGGCTAGCTTCACGCCTGGAAGCCTTCGCTGCAGAGGAAGGCATCAACAAGGAGGCAGGTATCCGCGCCAAAGAGGCCCAGCTGGTTGGCATGTCAGACAGCAGGAGGCCGAATTTGGAAGAGTTTCTTTGCAAGGAAGTAGGTTTGAATACCTGGCAGGTTGCCAAGGTGATCGCGACATTTCCGCCAGTGCTTGGCTTGAGCATTGAGGCAAATCTGAAGCCAACAGTGGAGTGGATGCAGGGGATGGGCCTGAGCCAGTCGCAGGTTGCCAAGGTGATCGCGACATCTCCCCCAGTGCTTGGCTTGAGCATTGAGGCAAATCTGAAGCCGAAGGTCGAATGGATCAAGGGGCTGGGCCTGAGCCAGTCGCAGGCTGCCAAGGTGATCGCGAGGTGTCCCCAAGTGCTTAGCTACAGCATTGAAGCAAACCTGAAGCCAACAGTCGACTGGATCAAAGGGTTGGGCCTGAGCCAGTCGCAGGTTGCCAAGGTGATCGCGACATTTCCGCATGTGCTGGCATACAGCGTTGAGGCAAATCTGAAGCCGAAGGTCGAATGGATCGAGGGGCTAGGCCTGAGCCAGTCGCAGGTTGCCAAGGTGATGTTGCAGCGTCCGCAAGTGCTTGGCTACAGCATTAAGTCAAATCTGAAGCCAACAGTCGAATGGATCAAGGGGCTGGGCCTGAGCCAGTCGCAGGTTGCCAAGGTGGTCGCGACGTTTCCTCAAGTGCTTGGCTTGAGCATTGAAGCAAATCTGAAGCCGACAGTGGAATGGATCGAGGGCTTGGGCCTGAGCCAGTCGCAGGTTGCCAAGGTGATCTTGCAGCATCCGCGAGTGCTTGGCTACAGCATTGAGGCAAATCTGAAGCCAACAGTGGAATGGATCACGGGGTTGGGCCTGAGCCAGTCGCAGGTTGCCAAGATGATCGCGACCTTTCCACAAGTGCTTGGCTTCAGCATTGAGGCAAACGTAAGGGTCAAATATGTGCTTATACAAAACTTCTTCCCGGGGGGAGCCGCAGCAGAGCTTCTTGCGAGATCGCCGCGGCTCTGGAGTTATCGGCACGCTCGGCTTGAACATCGTCTGCACGTGCTAAAGGCTCAAGGTCAGCTTTCCAAGCTCGCCGGCGCGATGACTTTGGGTTCAGATGCCTTCAACCGCAGATTCCCAAGTTCACAGCTGCCGATGCAGCTGAAAACAGCTTGGCTTCGACAGGGGTCTTACAGATCCTAGGGCTTCCATTGTTTGGGGCTGTAGGCTGTAGGGTGCATTACCATCGGGAGTTTCCATAACCGGGCTGAAAGCGTGGAGTCGAGATCGAAGAGGTTTCGGGTTTAGGAGTCAATGTTTGCTGGTTTCAGTGCTGCAGGCCCAGGGCGCAGAGCCGCAGCTGTAAATGCTATCGGGTGTTGGATTTGCGGGCTAGTCTTGCGCCAGCCACCAGTTCCAGTACCCCAAGCCTCAAACCCACAGACCCCATAACACCTCCCAGAGAGGTTTAAGCTTCTAACTCAAGCACCCGAGAAAGCCTTCAACGGTCGGGAGAGTTGTCAGACAAGACACAGAATGTTATTGTCCACGTGATCGGAAGGGTTCCTAGGGTATGTTGCGCTACGGCTATTTCTGGGCTTCAAGCCATACTAGAAAGAAGTTCTTGAAAATGAAGGCTGCGAGCATCTTGGAAGACGCGAGATCTCTCAAAGCTCCGAATCGCAGATTTCCAGCCGCAGGCCCCCAGCGGCGATGCAGCCTAGACAACCCTCACCCTGAAACCCTGAACTTTGCAACCCACCCCAAGCCTCGCAATCCTAACCTTCAAGCCCGGTTGCACAAATTCCAGAAACTTTCCATGCGCCTCGGAGGCACTTCAAGCCCTCAACTTCAAACCCCATACCCCGCAGCCCTAAATCCCAAAGCCTTGACACCCGCACGCTGAACCCGAAAGCCACAAAGCCGACACCCCAAAACCAAAACCCGAAAACCAAGACCCAAGACCACAACCAGAGACCCCTCATAGAACCCTTTTAGAACCCCCACCCAAACCTTAAAATCCTTTAAAACCCCAAAAGTCTCACAGAAGCCGTCGTAGCAAACCCGAAACCCTTGTAGGACCCTTATACGCCCGAATCCCCAAAGCCCTAAACTCGCAGAGGCCGGAGCCAAGATCGAGGCCGCCCAGCCCCCGGCCGAGCCGACCTCGAGCTCAGCGGCGTCGCCGAAGCGGCCCGGCGGCGCTTTTTACGGGCGAGTGAGATGGAAAGACTCGGGTTCTGTATCATTGGTGTACCGCGCTTTGAAGCAAGGCTACTCTCCTGCTTTCCTTCTCTTAGGGCTGCACCCCGCCCTGAACCCGAAACTGCAAACCCGTAGCAACAAAGCGTAGATCCTGAACCCCAAAGCCTCACGCCAACGAAGAAGATCCGACATCTCAAACCTCGGAATCTATGTTTGGTCTGTAGATCAGGCCTTTCGGCGAAAGAGCAGGGCTGAAACGATGCCCGCAGGACCACGTCCGGAGAACCCAGAGTTGTCAACATGAGCTCCACACCGATACCTGAAAGTCCCAAACCACAAACCCCTCTAACTCTCTTTGTTGAGACCTTTCTCGAAACAAACTGGAGATCTGTGTGTGGTCTCGCTCTTCGCAGAATGGGGCGTGCCGGACTGCTCATACCGACCCAACCCAAGCCTCCAACGGTTTGAATCGCTCGTCCCCCGCGTCCGAAACCCTACGTCCTCCTTACATCTCCCAACTTCCGCACCCGAAATTCCATGCAAAACGCTCAAGCCCCACACCAGAAACCCCAAACCGTGAATCATCGACCCTAAACCTGAAACCCTTGCAGGGGGTCCGAGATCTGAACCCATCGCCTCAAACCCTTAAATCAATAGGGTGTGACCCAAAGGAAAGATCAAGGTTGTAGGGGTTTATAGTTTAGGGCTTAGGGTTTAGGGTTTAACCCACCGACCGACCCAAAAGACAGACCCAAAGCCTTAATCGCTTCGGGCCCAGGAAGCCGGCGGCGAAGGGCAAAGCCAAGGCAAAGCCCTTCGCCACGACCTTCGCCACGGCGCAGGCAGTGGGACCTAGAGAGGGTTTCAGGACTCGGGGTTTTTAGGGTTTGGGGGTTGAGGATATCGGGGCTTAGGGTCTAGGTTTTTAGGGGTTTAGGAGTTTAAGGGTTTAGGGGTTTAGGCTTTGGGTGGTTGACGTTGCTTTTTCTCTGACCTAAAGTGTGGAATTCAGCGCTTGGTTGTTCTGGCTATTGCTGTTGCTGTGTCGCATACTGTGCATTGCAGAAAGGTTCCAGTTGCAGTTGATACATGTGTGGTCTGCAGGTAGCAGATAACAGTGTTTTCGAGCAGTTCCCTCTAAGTTAGGGCTGCTGTTGCTCCATACCTTCTTTGTTTCAACCCTTAGGCAGGTGGGTTTTGAAGGACAGCGGGCTCAGACCAAACACCCGAGCTTGCAGACGTCCGTGTTTTTGAATGCAGAGTTTAGTGTTTAGGGTTGTCCAGGCTTTTGCTGGGCGTGAAGTCTTTTTGAAGGCTTGAAATCCCAAGGCTTGAACACGATTCTAGCACAGTTCCAGCGGGGCTCATGCCGAAGGCATATGTTTCTCCTTCAGTCCTGAGCCCTTGCCTTTGGGTCCAGAGGACATAGTAAGTAGCCTTGTATGTACTTTAAACAGGGCTATAGCTGGGTTTAACAAAAGGTACCGTAGTTGTAACTTATAACCTAAGGTTCCCTGATCCTCCAAGAAACCATGCCAGCCCTTACAGGCCAGCCTCAGCAATCAAATCGGCATGTTCTCGGACTACGCCGGCCTGGAGTAAGGGAGCCGAAGAGCAAAAGGGGGAAGGGGGCGTCTTAAGGGATTAGGATTTAGCCACGGGCCCCGTCGAGTTTTATTCATGTTTGATGTCCAAAAGTCTTGGACATCACTTCGTCCGCCCGCCCCTTCCATTTTTATGCAGGTTGGATTTCCAAAGGATTAAACATGACTTGGTCACGCCTGGACTCAGCCAAAGCCTGCAGCATGAGTCAGTTGTACAAAGCTCTACACCCCCAAGGGCGAAGCCCAAAGCGGCACCCAGCATCTGCTCCTAAAGGGACGGTTGGCGACAGCACTTCGCCTAGTGGAATTCTGCGAGAAAACGGCCCAAGAGGTTTCTCGGCAGAAGATGTGTGTCAATCACGGTTCATGATTGACTGGGTTCTGGAGACCATACTTTATTGTTGTTTTTGTGAGATCTGTTCCTTACAGGATCCAGCATGAAATTTGAGGCTTCAGGGAAGTTCTAGGATGCCCAATCATGCCGGGAATTATGGTTGCAAGTCCAACAGGTTGAGGTTGTGGCTTCTGCTTCGGAAAGCTCTAAACTCACATCTCCAAAATCCAGAACACCCAAAACCCCACAGCCTAGGGTCGCACCAAGAACTTTCAGGCCCAAACCGAGAAGGCGAGAAACTCCTGAACTCGAGCTCCATGGGGCCTTCGCCCCCACTCGCCTTGCGATGCCGCGGGCTCAAGATGTCAGGGATGGCGTAGCCCTGGTCTTGAGGCTGAGGCCTTCGTGGCAGTGACAGAGTGCCCGCTCATGAAGTCGGGAATTAGTGTTACAGAAATCACAGGGTGCCGTGCCGGAGCCTAGCCCGAATTCACAGCTTCAGTCCTAAGTGACAAGCCCCGAAGCATTAATATTGATTTAAACCATCTTAAACCCCAAACCCTGAGCCCCAAGCCAGCCCTTTCTTCAAGAGCAAAGTTTCGCCCTGCAGCTTCAGCGAGCATGGACGCATGAGAATGGCGGCCACCCGGAGGCCCTGAGGGTGGGTGCTTGCCCTTTAAGGCCAAGAGGGCTTGAGGGCTGAAACTAGGAGCCTGAATGGGTGAGGTTCGGGGTTTGAGCCTATTGAGGATTGCTGGTCGGCGTGTTTTGGGGGTCTTCTAGGTTGTGCGGGTTGTGTAGGAGAGGTGGCTTGTGTTTCTTTGGTCTCTTCCGCGGCTGATGTTGCCCTGCTATCCCTCGAATGTCCGCCATCTTTACATAGCTGCTTTGCCTTTGGCGTCGGTGCATGACCAGAGTTGCGTGGGAGCTGCTGAGCTCCCCGGAGGTGATGCCGCACAGGCGCGCAGAACCAACCGAATTTCGGCTCTATCAAGGCCTAGGCTGGCCCGCACGGCAGAGCTTTCTCTTGCAGCAACATGACGCCACCATGCCGGAGAGGACAACCTCGTGTTGGCGCCCTCTGCCTGCTGTGCCTTCTTCTCGGAGCTGCACTGCCTGCGGCCGTTCCGCCTCCCTGGTGGCGGAAGGGTCGACCTCGGGAGAAGTTGGGGAGCAGGGCTGAGGCAGAGCTTCTTTGCCAGCTGGCCGTGCTGCTGATGCCGGATGTCCCCATTGCCGAGGCTTTCCGTGATTTTCCGGTGAAAAGAAGCAAACAGTGGGGCGCCAGCAGACTGTCACCGGATTTGACGGCATATGGTGCGCTGAACGCAACCGACGCTGCCCTGTTCATCGAGTATGACGGTAACTATCGCCACTTGGAGCCACCGGGCCTGGCCAGGGACGTGCGGAAGACCAGCGCGCTGCTGAAGTTCGCTCCTGCGGGATCTGTCGTAGTCCGCATCGCGCACAAGGAGCGACAGTGGAAGGACAAATCCACGCAAGTATTGGTGGACAGCTGGTTTTCTGAGCACGAGCCTTCGCTCCTAAAGGCCCTAAAGCTTCTCTTTTGAAGGAGGGCCGCGGCAAGCTGCATCCCACGGTAGCTTCTCGCCTGGAAGCCTTCGCTGCAGAGGAAGGAGTCAACGAGAATGCAAGTACCTGCGCCAAAGAGGCCGAGCTGGTTGGGATGTCAGACAGCAGCAGGCCGAATTTGGAAGAGTTCCTTTGCAAGAAAGTAGGTTTGAATACTTGGCAGGTTGCCAAGGTGATCGCGAAATCTCCTCAAATGCTGGGCTTGAGCATTGAGGAGAATCTGACGCCAACAGTCAAATGGATCACGGGCTTCGGCCTGAGCCAGTCGCAGGTTGCAAAGGTGATCGCGACGTTTCCTACACTGCTTGGCTACAGCATTGAGACAAATCTGAAGCCAACAGTCGAATGGATCAAGGGGCTGGGCTTGAGCCAGTCGCAGGTTGCCAAGGTCATCCACGGACATCCGCAAGTGCTTGGCTACAGCATTGAGGCAAATCTGAAGCCGACGGTCGAATGGATCAAGGGGCTGGGCCTGAGCCAGTCGCAGGTTGCCAAGGTCATCCTCGGACGTCCGCAAGCGCTTGGCTTGAGCATTGAGGCAAATCTGAAGCCGACGGTCGAATGGATGAAGGGGCTGGGCCTGAGCCAGTCGCAGGTTGCCAAGGTGATCGCGACATTTCCGCCAGTGCTTGGCTACAGCATTGAGGCAAATCTGAAGCCGACGGTCGAATGGATCAAAGGCTTGGGCCTGAGCCAGTCGCAGATTGTCAAGGTGATCGCGACCTTTCCGCCAGTGCTTGGCTTGAGCATTGAGGCAAATCTGAAGCCGAAGGTCGAATGGATCAAGGGGCTGAGCCTGAGTCAGTCGCAGGTTGCCAAGGTGATCTTGCAGCGTCCGCAAGTGCTTGGCTTGAGCATTGAGGCAAATCTGAAGCCAGCGGTAGAATGGATGAAGGGGTTAGGGATGAGCCAGTGTCAACTTGGCAACCTGATTGCCTCATTTCCTCCGGTATTTGGCTGTCGTATCGACAGAAATCTGTCAGCGAAACACCGTCTTCTGCAGGAGTATTTCCCCGAAGCGCACGCGGCACAGTTGCTGGCCCAATCACCTCGCCTTTGGAGCTATAGGTTTGCTCGACTTGAGCATCGCCTGTCAGTGTTGAAATCTCACAACCAGCTTTCCAAACTTGCGGGTGCCATAACACTTCCTCTGGATGAATTCAGTCGCAGATATCCTGGGACATGATGCCGGACGTGAATGTCGACAGGAGCGACCTATGACCTCTGGGCAGTATTTTGTTTCATGGAAATGGCCTGCTGTCTTTGTCGGGGGTCCGAAGTACAGACCTTTTGGGATGGAAACCGGGAGTCAGGCCGACCCGTCACTATCAGAGGAGCTGTACATTACGCTGTACTTCGAAAACTGTGGCTTTGCAGAGCTTCAAATGCCAGGGCTTTGCAGATTCATCCTCTTTTCCCCCAAGCCAGAAACTCCTTGAGCCCAAGAGCCCACATCTCCGAAGGTCCAACTCTTGCGGCTTAGGGTTTAGGGTGTACGGTCTACCCAGACTGACCCAAAAAACTGCACAGCAAAGATGCCGATCTTTTGTCATTTGGGGCGTTCTGCAATTGCAGACACCGAGGTATGTTTGATTGTCTGACACTCGTTTCGGTGTCAGAGCCACCATGCCTCAACGACGGAGACCTGCTCGACATCTGCTCCCGTCGCTATGTTTCTAAGCAGTCCTGTCTCCATGTCGTTCTTTTTGCTTCTTTTTATCCCAAAGCCCTAAGCTCCCTAAGAAGCCCCATGCCGTGGCTCCGTCGCAGGCCCGAGCAAGCCCCAACCAGCTCACGACCAAGGCGGGAAGCTCCTGGGCTTTTTGGGGCTTTTGCTTTTGATGCAACTTGCAGCCTGGAACCCGAACTCTTGATAACAACCCTAAACCCTGAACTCGATCTAGAAGCCTTGAGCCTCCCCTAAGATTCGATCTCTACGTCGCGTGCTGCAACCTCCGGCCAGTCCAGGAAGAGCCCACTACCCCTTGGTTGAATACGTTGAATAGATTAGGGTTTAGGGTCAGGGTCTGGGTTTAAGGTGTAGGGTTTCGGGTTCAGGGTCTAGGCTTTGGGGTGTAGGGTTTCGGGTTTAGGGTCTAGGGTTGAGGGTCTAGGGTTTCGGGTTGAAGGTTCCGGGTTTAGGGTAGATTAGACCATACTCCTTGGTTTAAGGGGTGTTGGGCTCTTTGCGCCACGAAGCCATGATCGAATCGCTCGATCCACTGCCTTCCGCTCTGAGTTCAGCGAGAACGCGACCGAACGCGGGAGAAACCCTCACAACGCAGAGCCGTAAACTTTATTTTAGCCGCAATTGAAGTTGCAGACTCACGCTTGAGGCTCTGAACTCCATGTTGCTGTATATTATGGAAGAACACAGACAACTCTGAACGGAACAATACAGCCCTAAAGGCCCAAGCATCCCAGGGATTGATGAAGTTCACGAGGTTGCAAACCCCCCTTGCCCCTAGCCTTAACCCGAAGCGTTGAAGTACCTGCCATAGTTGTAGCAGACATGGAATGGAAAGTTTACAATTTCGGAAGTTGCCATGTCCTATGATGTGTAGTTCTGGCCTCGAAACTTTTCAAATCTTGATCGTCGTCTACCCAAGGCTGCAGACCCTAACACCATACTTTAAAAATCCTGGAGCAGCTAGTACAAACCGGGTTAATTATCAGCCTTCCTAAACTGCTATGCCTAGGAAAAAGACCGCCTAAACCCTAAACCCGAAACCCTAAAACAACCTAAACTCCTAAACCCCTAAACCCTAAACCATAAACTAAACTCCCAGATCAGAAAGCCCGAAAAACTGCGCCGCAGAGGGCGCCTCGCCCTTGCACCTGGCGGCGCAGCTGGGGAAGCCGGAGCTGGTGAGCCTCTTGCTGGAGCTCGAGGCCAGGACTGGCTCTTTTGACGTAGCACCACAGTAATTCGAAGAGGGCTGGTATTAATAGGGTTCCTTTAGGGGTTACTTTAAAGACTACTTTAAGGGCAGCTGTAAGGGTTACTATAAGCCTCCTGCTGGAGCTGGAGGCCGCCAGGACTGGCCTTTAGGGCCCAGGGTTGAGTGTTTTTTCGTGGTTTAGGGTTTAGGGTGACTTGTTGTTGTTTCCTGTTGTCGTCGGGGTCTTGGAAGGGTTTATCTGCGGAAGTGTTGAGATTCGTCAACCTTCGTTTTGTTTTTCAACGGTTTGCAGAGTTTCCGTGTGGTTCTGTTTTGATCAATTTGTGCGGCGTCCGGCAGATAAGGCGCCTTAGTTGTAGCATGTACCTGTACAGTTGCGTGAAAGCAGCATACTAGTGTGATCATGAGACTTAGGACTCGACTTGCTCTTCATGCGTTTGCAGCCCTGATCAACCCCACAGCTTGGTGCCCCACAGGTAAGGGTAAGGGATTGAGGCCAGGGGGTGGAGTTCGCCGTGCTGGTCTTGAATTATTGAGATCCAGGTGAATAGAATGCCCAAACCGGAGCAGTGCGATGAATCGGTTGCAAAACCGTTCTGATCTCCCTGTGCTTCTCCCCAATCCTGAGCTCTCAACCCCAGATCGCTAGAGTGCAATTTACAACCCTCAGGTCGCTGAGGCCCCAGGCCCCTCCTCAGCCTCCCTCCTCCATGCAGCCTTCGATTTCCACCCACAGCCGGTATGTCCAATCCGTGCGTTTTCAGGTTTCGGGCCAGGGGCTTGGGGAGTCAAACCTTTTGGCACCCTGTGAGGCAGATCCGAACCTCGCCTCGACCCAGGCGGGGGTTTAGTTGTGCTTGGGGCTTCGGGCTTCGGGCTTCGGGAGATTTCAGGCTCAAGGGGGCTTGGGGGTTTGGGGTTTAGGATTTAATTATCGGGTCTAAGGCAGACAACTTAAGGCTAAGGGTTTAAGCGGTTTCGGGTTCAGGGCTTCGGGTTCAGGCGGGATTTGCGGAATGGGGCTTCCAGAGTTTCAAGCAGAATTCCTGGGTGCAGCTTTTTGAATTCCTGAGCTTCAAGCCATGAAGGAGCTACTAGAAAACTGCGGCCTGAATGCCAGAAATTTTGGTCGAGTGGGGTGCCGTGTTCATCTAAGAGCCTTGTTTGCCATCAAGTTATGGTCTCGGGTTGGGCGCGCGCGGTTCTGTCAGGCCGATGAAGGATACCTTCGGCCTTCAAGGCTTGGATCTACGAGGCCCAAAGCTCAAGAGCCTTATGAGAATCTTGGACTGCCTCGAGTCCGATGGCCCCCAAGGCGCGAAGTCCAATCAACTAACACCGAACTCCACAGCGGACTTCGTCCATCCCCAAGCCCTAACTTCTACAAAATTTCTAAACATGCCGCCACCCCCAAGTGCACGAGCCATAGGGCCAGACCGCGCTGTCCCTGGCGTCGAACAAGAAGGTCATCAGCATACTCCAGGAGGCTCCGAAGCTTCTGGGGTTTCGGTTTTTGAGGATTCAAGCTAAGGGTCTATGGTTCAGGGTTTAGCATCGGGCTCTGGAAAAATGGGATTTAGGGGTGTGGGGTTGAAGGATTTTCGGGCTTCCTAGCGCGTTGAGGGTTTCGGCCTTCGGGACCTTCTCTACTTCGGGGTTCAGAATTGGGAGTTCTTCGGTCTCGAGGCCGTCTTCGGGCTTGTATCCGGGGTCTGGTGATAATCAGGACTCTGAGATCCTGGTCCGAAAGTCAGAACTGCAATCAGAACTTGAGATCCCAAGTCCCAAACTTGTTTTGAGTTCGGTGATCTCGCGCTTGCATGTAAGTTGCGTGTTATCCTTTTGGTCTCATTCAGCCGGCCAGATAGCTTCGGTAGCTTGTTGCATGATCCTGTCGTGACTTCTGCCGACATCAAAGATGCAGCATCCGTTCTGGAGGCGCTGTCTTCGTCGTGTTGGCCCGATAGGCCGCCCTCTTCCTCGCTTCGCTTGCAAAGCTGCTGTGACGGAATCGACTCCGCCCGCCTGGTGGCTACAGGGCCGACCTCGGAACGTCTTTCAGAGTAGGGCTGAGGCAGAGCTCCTCTCGCAGCTGGCAGTGCTGCTCATGCCTGATGAGCCCATTGCCGAGGCGTTCCGTGACTTTTCGGTGAAGAGATGCAAGGATTGGGGCTCCCGCAGATTGTCCCCGGATCTGACGGCATATGGCGTGCTGAGCGCAACCGATGCTGCCTTGTTCATCGAGTACGATGGCTATTATCGTCACATGGAGCCACTGGGCCTGGCCAGAGATATGCGCAAGACGAGCATGCTGCTTAAGTTCGCTCCTAAGGGATCTGTCGTGGTTCGTATCGCGCACAAGAAGCGACAGTTGAATGACACTTGCACGCAAGTATTGGTGGACAGCTGGTATGCTGTGCACGAGCCTTCGCTCCTGAAGGTCCTAAATCAGGTTGCGGCTTCTCTTTTGAAGGAGTCTCGTGGCAGGCTGCATCCCACGGTAGCTTCACGCCTGGAAGCCTTCGCTGCAGAGGAAAGCATCAACAAGCATGCAAGTACCCACGCTAAAGGAGTCGAGCTGATTGGCATGTCAGACAACAGCAGGCCGAATTTGGAAGAGTTTCTTTGCAAGGAAGTAGGTTTAAATACTGGGCAGGTCGCCATGGTGATCGCGAAATCTCCGCAAGTGCTGGGCTACAGCATTGAGGCAAATCTGAAGCCAACAGTCGAATGGATCAAGGGGCTGGGCCTGAGCCAGTCGCAGGCTGCCAAGATTATCGCGACCTTTCCCTCAGTGCTTGGCTTGAGCCTTGAGGCAAATCTGAAGCCAACAGTCGAATGGATCAAGGGCTTGGGCTTGAGCCAGTCGCAGGTTTCCAAGGTGATCCTCGGACATCCGCAAGTGCTTGGCTACAGCATCGAGGCAAATCTGAAGCCAACAGTGCAATGGATCAAGGGGCTGGGCCTGAGCCAGTCGCAGGTTGCCAAGGTGATCGCGAGGTTTCCCCAAGTGCTTGGCTACAGCATTGAGGCAAATTTGAAGCCAACACTCAAGTGGATCAAGGGGCTGGGCCTGAGCCAGTCGCAGGTTGCCAAGGTCATCCTCGGACGTCCGCAAGCGCTTGGCTTGAGCATTGAGGCAAATCTGAAGCCAACAGTGCAATGGATGAAGGGCTTGGGCCTGAGCCAGTCGCAGATTGTCAAGGTGATCGCGACCTTTCCGCCAGTGCTTGGCTTGAGCATTGAGGCAAATCTGAAGCCGAAGGTCGAATGGATCAAGGGGCTGAGCCTGAGTCAGTCGCAGGTTGCCCAAGTGATCTTGCAGCGTCCGCAAGTGCTTGGCTTGAGCCTTGAGGCGAACCTGAAGCCGACAGTCGAATGGATCAAGGGGCTGGGCATGAGCCAGTCGCAGGTTGCCAAGGTGATCGCGACATTTCCGCCAGTGCTTGGCTTGAGCATTGAGGCGAATCTGAAGCCGACAGTTGAATGGATCAAGGGGCTGGGCCTGAGCCAGTCGCAAGTTGCCAAGGTGATCTTGCAGCGTCCGCAAGTGCTTGGCTTGAGCATTGAGGCAAATCTGAAGCCAGCGGTAGAATGGATGGAGGGGCTGGGGATGAGCAAGTGTCAAGTTGGCAACTTGATTGCAACATTTCCTCCGGTGTTTGGCCTTCGTATCGACACAAATCTGTCAGTGAAGCACAGTCTTTTACAGAAATATTTCCCCGGAGCGCAGGCAGCACATATGCTGGCCCAAACACCTCGCCTTTGGAGTTATAGGTATGCTCGACTTAGGAACCGCCTGTCGGTGTTGAAATCTCACAACCAGCTCTCCAAACTTGCGGGCGCCATAACACTTCCTCTGGATGCATTCAGTCGCAGATATCCTGGGATATGATGCAGGAGGCGCACGTCGACAGATGGAAAAACCAGAAACGACCTATGGTATCTTGTCTCATCGAAACGGCCTCGGGGGTCCGATGTATCGACCTTGGGATAGAAAGTGGGAATCAAGCTGATGCCTTGCTATTAGAGGAACTACATAGTACCTCGGGATTGCGGCTTCTCCGAGCTTCAAACGCCAGGGCTTTGCGGGTTCATCCATCCCCTGTCCCCCCAAACCAGAACTAGGCATCGATTTGGGATGAGTTTTAGTTTCCCTTGTTGTTGAATATAGAGCCTTAATTATGAATGAATTTAAGGGACTGTAGGAATCGACACCTAGAGAAACTCGTTGAGCCCAAGAGCCGGTATCTCCGAAGGTCCAACTCTTGCGGTTTCGGATTTAAGGTTTACCCAGACTGACCAATTTTTCTGCAGAGCAAAGATGTCCAATGCCTTTTGTCATGCGCGTGTTCTGCCACTGCAGACACCGAGGTATGCCCACTCAGGCTTTGATTGTCCGACACTCGTTGCCTACACGACAGAGTCCCGATCGACATCGGTTCCTATCACTATGTTTCTATGTAGTCTTGCCCTTCTGTCGTTCTTTTTTCCCAAAGCCCCAAGCTCCCTAGAAGACCCCAAGCCGTAGCTCCGTCGCAGGCCCGGGCCAGCCCCAACCAGCTCACGACCAAGGCGGGAAGGGAAGCCCCTCTGGGATGGTTTTTTAGGGGGCTTTTGCTTTCGGTGCAACCTGCCGTCCGGAGCCCGAACTCATGACAAAACCCTAAACCCTGAACTCAATCAAGAAGCCTTGAGCGTCCATTAAGATTCGATCTCTACGTCGCATGCCGCCACCTCCGGCCAGTCCAGGGAGAGCCCACTACCCCCTTAGTCGAATAGATGAGGGTTTAGGGAGTTTAGGGTTTAGGGTTCGGTTTAGGGTTTAAGGATGTTTAAGGTCTAGGGTTTAGGGTGCAAGTAAGGGTTTAGGGTAGATTAGATCCTATTCCTTGGTTCAACAGTGTTGGTCCGTTTGCGCCACCCAGCCATGATCCATCGCAGCCCTCGAATGGCTCGATCCCCTGCATTCCGCCTTGAGTCAGCGTCGGTGAAACCCTCACAAGGAAAAGCTGTAAAGTTTCATTCTAGCCGCAGGTTGAAGTTGCCGAATTGGGCCTGAGGCTCTGAACTTCATGTTGCTTCATAGATGGGAGAATTTAGAAAAGTTTGAACTAAACAACAAAAGCTTTAGAGGCCCAAGCGCGGAAGGGATCGGTAAAGCTCACGGGTCGCGAAAAACCCTCCTTGCCCTAACCCTAAACCCCAAGCGTTGATGTACCCGCCATAGGCGCAGGAAGCTGTTGGAGAACTGGAACGGAATTTTACACTTTCGAACTTTGCCGTGTCCTATGATGTGTACTGTAAAAGGAGTTCTGGCCTTGAACCTGTTCAACGCTTCATCATAGACTAATTAAGACTCCAGACTCTTAAAGCTCTCTAGAGAGTAGCAGGAGCATCTAGTCTAAGAAGGTTATAAACCTTCATAAACTGCTTTGAAAGGGCATCTAGTGCAAACAGGGTATGAATCTTCATGAGCTGCTATGAAAACCAGGTTAGAGACGCCCAAAAAACTGCGCCAGAGGGCGCCTCGCCCTTGTTCCCGGCGGCGCAGCTGGGGAAGCCGGAGCTGGTGAGCCTCCTCCTGGAGCTCGAGGCCGCCAGGATTTTTGGGGTTTAGGGTTCTTTGGGTTCTTTGGGTTCTTTGGGTTTAGGGTTATTTGGGTTTGGGTTTAGAGTTGTGAGCCTCCTTCTGGAGCTCGAGGCCAGGACCGGCTCTTTGCATCTAGGGCTACAGTAGTTCGAAGAGGGCTCCTGTTAGGATTACTTTAAGGGCCACTTTTTTTGAACAGGCTTCCTGTTAGGGTTGCTTTAAGGCCTACTTTAAGGGCTTTTGGAAAGGTTGCTAGAAGGATTCCCTGAAGGCTTCAGGGTGCCGGGCTTCTTTTTTTGTGGTGTGGGATTTTGGATTTGGAGGAGTTTTCATCTGATCTGGGCTTTGGATCTTCGCGGTCTTACAGGGGCTCACTGCGGGATTGTTGAGATTCGTTTTTTGGTATGTCGGGTTTTTGCGTTGTTGTTCTTGGTCGAACCGTGCGGGTTTCGCAGATAGGCTTGCCTTAGCTGATGTTGTAGCATGTCCTCGTGCAGTTTCTCGAGTGCATACCATCTGGGATTGCAGAGATCACGGGTAATCAGGATGTCCAACGTGCTGTGCGATGAGCCCGTTGGTGATCTTTCTGGTCTCCCTGTGTCTCCCCAATCCGGAGCTCTCAATCCCACATCGCTGCACTGCACCTCTAGACCCTCCAGTCGCTGAGGCCCCGGGCCCCTCCTCAGCCTCCCAGCCCTGAGCAACTTTCGATCTCCACCCAAGGCAGACATGTCCCGACCCCTATCTTTTCGGGTTTCGGTCCAGGGGTTTGGGGTCAAAACCTTCGTCACTCCGTCAGGCAGATCCCAACCTCGCGTCGACCCAGGCGCGGTTTTAGTTGTGCTTCGGGCTTAGGGCTCTGTGGGCTCCGGGTCTTGGGGTTTCGGGTTTGGGACCCAGGGTTTGAGGACAACGGCATAAGGTTTAGGCGGCTTAGGAATGAGGCTGGATCGGCGGATTGGGGCTTCCATAGTTTCAAGCAGACAGCTTGGATGCAAGCCTTGAAGGGGCTACCGGAAGGCCCAGAACTTTTGTGGAGGCTCTGGTTTCGGGTTGTCGTGCCTGCTCCTGCCAGGCCCCTACATGCTTTTGGCTCATAAAGCTTGATATACAGGGCCCCAAGCTCAAGAGCCTTAGACTCAGACAATCTTGGGCTGACTCAAGATTGATTGGCCCTAAGTCCCATCAAGTCAGTGACCCGAATCGCATCGCAAAGCCTGTGCACCTTACATCATGAGCCTTACACTTACACGACCATCCACAACGTACTCCCCAAATCCCGAAATCTACCCAACTCCTGCAGCCCCCAAGCACAAGAGTCCGGCGCCCTAGGGCCAGACAGCGCTGTCCTTGGCCTCGAACAAGAAGATCATCAGCATACTCCAGGAGGCTCGGAAGCATCTAGGGTTGAGGGTTTTGGGCCTTTGCCGTTTGGGTTTAGATTTTAGTTTGGGGAGTCCAAGGTTAGGTTTTTTCTGGGCCCGCAGCTGGATCCATTTGCTTCAGGGTTCAGACTTTTAGTATTTTTCGCGGTTCGAGGCTGTATTCAAGCAGAATCGAAGGTCTCTCGTCTTTAGGGCTTTATAATGCTTTAAGCTTGTCCATTCGAATCTATGTCAGGCTTGGGATGCTGCAGATTGAGACGCAGGAGACCAGAGCCTGCCAGCTACATCGGCAACTTTACGCTAAAACCAACCAAGATCGAACTTCAAGACCGAACGCATGATCAACAAGTCACAGCCATAATGTTGAACAGAGAGCACCGAACTTGCTTTAGGTTCGGTGACCTCCCTGCAGTTCATGTGTGCATGATATATCCTTTGGCCTCATTCAGCCGAGCAGATAGCTTCGCTAGCCTACTGCACGATGTTGTCGTGACTTCAGTCAACATCAAGGATGCAGCGTCAGTCCTGGAGACGATGCCTTCGTCGTGGCGGCCGGTTACATCTCCCACCTTGTGGGAGTCTTCCTCGCTCCGCTTCCGGAACCACTCTGAAGGAGTCGACTCCACCCGCCTGGTGGCTGAGCGGCCAGCCTCGGAATGTTTTTGGAAGCAGGGCTGAGGTGGAGCTTCTCTCGCAGCTGGCAGTGCTGCTCATGCCGGATGCGCCCATTGCTGAGGCTTTCCGTGATTTTCGGGTGCAAAAATCCAAGCAGTGGGGTTCCAGCAGACTGTCCCCGGATTTGACAGCTTACGGTGTGCTCAAAGCAACTGATGCTGCACTCTTCATTGAGTACGATGGTCATTATCGGCACATGGAGCCAGCAGGCTTGGCGACAGACACTCGCAAGACCAGCGCGCTGCTGAATTTCGCTCCCGCGGGATCTGTCGTACTGCGCATCGCGCACAAGGAGCGACAGTGGAAGGACAACTCCATGCAAGTATTGGTGGACTGTTGGCAGTCCACGCGCGTGCCCTCACTTCACAAAACGGTGCAGCAAGTCGTAGCTTTTCTACTGCATTCTTGTCGCGCTGAGCTGGTGCCTGGGATCGTTTCACAGCTAGAGACATGTGACCTGCATCACATCGACAGGAACGCAATCACCTTCGCAGGTGATGCAGAGTTGGTCGGCAACACGTCTAACCGCAACAGGCTGGCAGCTCAGGAATTTCTCCAGAACGAGATGCGGCTGACAACAGTCCAACTTGCCAAGGTGATTGCGACCTTGCCCCCAGTGCTTGGCTACAGCATTGAGGCAAATCTGAAGCCAACAGTCGAAGGGATCAAGGGGTTCGGCCTGAGCCAGTCGCAGGTTGCCAAGGTGATCCTCGGACGTCCAGCGGTGCTTGGCTTGAGCATTGAGGCGAATCTGAAGCCAACCGTCGAATGGATCAAGGGGTTCGGCCTGAGCCAGTCGCAGGTGGCCAAGGTGATCCTCGGACATCCGCACGTGCTTGGCTACAGCATTGAGGCAAATCTGAAGCCAACAGTCGAATGGATCAAGGGGCTGGGCCTGAGCCAGTCGCAGGTTGCCAAGGTGATCGCGACCTTTCCCTCAGTGCTTGGCTTGAGCATAGAGGCGAATCTGAAGCCGACAGTTGAATGGATCAAGGGGCTGGGCCTGAGCCAGTCGCAGGTTGCCAAGGTGATCGCGACCTTTCCCTCAGTGCTTGGCTTGAGCCTTGAGTCAAATCTGAAGCCAACAGTCGACTGGATCAAAGGGTTGGGCCTGAGCCAGTCGCAGGTTGCCAAGGTCACCGCAAGATTTCCCTCAGTGCTTGGCTACAGCATTGAGGCAAATCTGAAGCCAACAGTCGAATGGATCAAGGGGTTGGGCCTGAGCCAGTCGCAGGTTGCCAAGGTGATCCTCAGACACCCGCAAGTGCTTGGCTTGAGCATTGAAGCAAATCTGAAGCCAAGTGTCGAATGGATCAAGGGGCTGGGCCTGAGCCAGTCGCAGGTTGCCAAGGTGATCGCGACCTTTCCCCCAGTTCTTGGCTTGAGCATTGAGGGAAATTTGAAACCAACGGTCGAATGGATCAAGGGGCTGGGCCTGAGCCAGTCGCAGGTTGCCAATGTGGTCGTGACTTTTCCACACGTGCTTGGTTTGAACACTGAGGCAAACTTAACGTCAAAGTTCATTTTAATTGCACGTTTCTTCGCACCGGCAGATGCTGCAGGGCTTCTGGCGAGAACTCCGCGACTTTGGAGCTATCGGCACGCTCGCCTTGAACATCGCCTGCACGTGCTAAAGTCGCAAGGTCAGCTGTCCAAACTTGCCGGCGCCATGGCTTTGGGGTCAGATGCCTTCAACCGCAGATTCCCAACTTCACGGCTGCCGACTCAGTGGCAAACCATCTCGCTTCGACAAGAGCCTTGCGGATAGTGGGGCCCGTAGGCTGCAGAGCCATCCGGAGTTTCCATAATGGGCTTATAGACTGGAGTCGAGATCGAAGGCTTTTAGGGCTTGGGATTGATTTACTGGTTGAGTGCTGCAGGTGCCATGCAGGGCTCAGAGCCGCAGCTCTAAAAGCAATTGCGTGTTGGATTTGGGGTGTTGTCTTGCGCCAGCAGCCCCACCCTAAACCAAAACCCCAAACCACAACCCAATCATACAACCCTCATATAACCGTCACCCAAAGCCCTAAACCCCCGAAGCCCCCCCGAAGCCCCCCCGACCCCCCCAACACCCCAAAACTCTCTCAGAGGCAGGCGTTCAGCCCTAAACCCCTTTTTCACCCCAAAGTGCCAAAATCCCAAAGCTCTTTCAGAGGCCGGGGCCACGATCGAGGTCGCCCAGCCCCCGGCCGAGCCGACCTCGAGTTCGGCGGCGTCGCCGAAGCGGCGCGGCAGCGGTTCGCTGGGCGTGAGGTGGAAAGAATAGGATTCTTTAAAGGGTTTCTGAAAAAGGGTTCTACAGTGGGGATGCAAAAGAGATTCAAGGGTTCGGGCGCTTCGAAAGTAAGAACAAGGTTTTTTTGGTTTTCTCATTGAGATTTTGTTGGCCTGAGGTTCACATTTAACAAGTTCTATAGTGGCTCTACGCTATGGGCGCTTTTAGGGGTGACAGCCGAGAGAGGAGGCTCTATGCGTGTCCGAAGGATTCATTCTACGGTATGAGGTGTCAACAGTTGAAGTAATTACGGTGTTTGTGTTTTTTTTTTTATATGGGCCAGGTTTATAGGGTCCTGGATACGGACCGATGTTCAATTTTCAGGGACTAGTGTCCGATCAAGGGCTTATGGAATCTCGGGAAGCGAGTGCACAATGTCTGTTTCAATCTCCTCACTCTCTCTGTACCTGTGCTGGTTTTGTTTTGCTGTAATATTCCTGAGTCCCGAAAACGAAAACCACATTATGTGCATGGCCCTTTTGTCTTAATTAGAAGCTTTTCAGAACATCCACTTCCCTACATCTGCCCCGCCAGCTCCAATTTATCGCGTTTTGAAGCGAGGCTACTCTCCAGCCTCCCTGTTCTTCAGCGCTGCACCCCGAGCCCTGAATCCGAAACTGCAAACCTAGCCACAGATCCTGAAACCCAGAGCCTCAACGCAACAAAGAAGATCCGACATCCCAAACCTCGGAGTCTAGGTTTGGTTTGTAGATCAAGCTTTTGGGCTTAAGAGCAGGCCTGAAACGATGCCCAAAGGACCCGAGAACCCACCCGCGGTTGTCAACATGAGCACCAAGCCGAACAGTGAAATTAGCAAGCTCCAAACGCCTCGAACTCTCTTTGTTGGAGCCGTTCTCGAAACAAACGGGAGTAAGTATCTTTGTACGGTGTCGCTCTTCGCAGAATGGGGCGTGCTGGACGGCTCATGCCGAAGCAACACAAGCTTCCAACTGTTCGAATCGCTCGCCCCCCGAGTCTGAAATCCTACGTCGACGTCGTCCTGATGTCTCCGTGCTTCTGCACCCGAAACAAACCCCAAAACGCTCAAGCCCCACCAGAAGCCCCAGACTGTGAACCTTCGACCCTAAACCTGAAGCGTTCAACCCTGCAGGGGGTCCCAGATTTGAATTCATCGCTTCAAACCCTTAAACGTAAGATTTAGGGTTCAGGGGTTTAGGGTTTAGAGGTTTGGAGTTCAGCGGTCAGGGTTGAGGGGTTTAAGCGTTTAATCCTTAGACCGACCCAAAAGAAAGATCCAAAGCCTTTAGCTGAATACATCAGTACATCGCCTCAAACCTGGGTTAGTTGTAACATGTTGTGTTGCTTTGTCCCTTAAACCCAAAAGAAAGACCCAAAGCCCAAAGCCGGCATTGGGGCCCAGGAAGCCGGCGGCGAAAGGCAAAGCCAAGGCAAAGCCCTTCGCCACGACCTTCGCCACGGCGCAGGCAGTGGGACCTCGAGAGGGTTTCAGGATTCGGGTTTTTAGGGTAGGGGTTGAGGATTTCGGGGCTTAGGGTTGAGGGTTTAGGGGTTTAGGCTTTAGATGGTTGATGTAGTTTTGAGCTAGAGTGTGGAATTAAGCGCTTGGTTGTTCTGGCTATGACATGTGTGGTCTGCAGGTAGCAGATAACACTATTTTTGAGCAGTTCCGCCTAAGTTAGGGCTGCTGGGCTCCATACCTTCTTTGTTTCAACCCCTAGGCAGGTGGGTTTTGAAGGACAGCGGGCCCAGACCAAACACCCGAGCTTGCAGACGTCCGTGTGTAGGAATGCAGAGTTTAGTGTTTAGGATTGTCCAGGCTTTAGGCGGGCTGTAAGTCTTTTTTGAATAATCGAAATCCCAAAGCTTGAACACAATTCTAGCACAGTTTCCGCGGGGCTCATGCCGAAGGCATATGTTTCTCCTTCAGTCCTGAGCCCTTGCTTTGGGGTGTAAGTAGCTTTGTAGGTACATTGTAGGTACTTTAAACAGGGTCATAAGTGGGTTCAACAAAAGGTACGGTACTTGTAACTTGTAACCCTACTTACTAAGGTTCCCTGCTCTCCAGGAAACCATGCCAGCCCTCACAGGCCAGCCTCAGCAACCAAATCGGCATGTTCTCAGACTACGCCGGCTTTGAGGAAGGGAGCCGAAGAACAAAAGGGAAGGGGGTGGCTCGAGGGTTTAGGGTTTAGCCACGGCCCCGTCGAGTGTTAGTCATGTTTGATGTCCAAAAATCTCGAACATCACTTCTTCCGCCGGCCCCTTCCATGTTTATGCAGGTTGGATTTCCAAAACATTAAACATGACTTGGTCACAAAGCTCACAGCACGAGTCAGTTGTACAAAGTTCTACACCCCCAAGGGCCAAGCCCAAAGCGGTTCCCAGCATCTGCTCCTAAAGGGACCGTTGGCGACATCACTTCGCCTAGTGGAATTCTGCGAGAGAACGGCCCAAGAGGTTTCTCGGCAGAAGATGTGTGCCCTTCACGGTTCATGATTGACTGGGTTCTGGAGTACCATACTTTAATGTTGTTTTTGTGGGATCTGTTCCTTAAAGGAACCAGAATGAAATTTGAGGCTTTAGGGAAGTTTTAGGATGCCGAATCATGCCGGGAATTATGGATGCAAGCCTCAACAGGTTGAGGAAATGAAAGTTTGTGGTTTCTGCTTCGGAAAGCCCTAAACACATCTCGAAATTCAAGTGCAAAACCCTGAGCACCCAAAATCCCACAGCCGAGGGCACCCAGAACCTTCAGTCCCAAACCGAGAAGGCGAACAACTCCTGAACTCGAGCTCCATGGGTCCTTCGCCGCCATTCTTCCAACGTACGACGCCGCGGGCTCAAGATGGCCAGGGATGCCCTGGTCTTGAGGTTTGGGCCTTCGTGACAGAGTGCCTTGAAGTCAGGAATTATGCTTGTGGAAATCGCTCAAGAACGAAAAGCCAGAAACCTCAAACCCCGAAGGCTTAAACCCCAGGCCCCAAACCCTAAACCCCCAGCCAGCCCTCTCTTCAAAAGCAAAATTTCAACCTGCAGCTAGTGTGCACATGGACGCATGGGAATGGAGGCCACCTGGAGGCGCAGAGGGTGGGTGTCTGCTCTTCGGGAGTGTAAGGCTATGAGGGCTGGAGGGCTGAATTTGATATTGTCAGAATCATATACAACAAACGTACAGGGCTAATTGTTAAGCCCTACATCACAGTCGTCATGGATTATCGACTTTTTGGCTAAGGGTCTGGGGGTTGGGGATTGTTTAGCAATGGGCTTTCAAACTTTGTGGCGTCCCGAAAATCACCTCAGCAGTAGAGTAGGTTAGTGGAGTACTTTCATTCCTTTACCTGTACGTATCTATAGTTATATATCCATATCCCCCCAAAGTTAACCTTAATTTCCCTACGATACTGGACAAGAGAGTCACCGGAGACGTTTGGGGTTGTTGAGTGTTCGGCTCTCGAGGTAATCTTCGGTCTTTGGCCTTCTAAAGGAGGATTGAAAAGGTTTAGGACTCAGGTTTTAGGGCTTCGGGATGCGGTTTAGGGCTTCGGTAGTTCCGAAATCCGAGATTTGCTGCCAACCAGTGGCTAGGTAGTGGAACTTTAGGGACATTGCTTCAGATCGTTTCTGGTATATTTCTGCTGCTGCAGTATTGAAGAAGAACGAACAAGCAGGAGACACCGAATCAAAAGAGGAATGTGACATTGAATGATTACTTGGTGAGATGCTTCCGCGTTTTTTCTCAGTGAGCACGCATGGCCGCACAATTCCGACGCTGATCCCCTAAACCCAAGCCCGAACCCGAAGCCCTCAACCATAGCCCTCAACCTTAAGCCCTTCTCACTAACTCACCCCTAAACCCCCAAACCCTAAGCCCCGGAACCCTTACCCCTGTAACCCTAAGCCCTTTCAGTATCCCCCCCCCCCTCCCCGGACCCGATCCCATGGCGCCTTTCCGGTGTGGTCGCCTTGGCCTTGCTGCCTTGGCAATCGGCCTTCTCTGCTCTCTGCGGCCGCGCCTGGCTTTGGTGGGCCGGCCCAGCCCGAGCTAGACAGGATGATTGGGGTTTAGGGTTTAGGGATCTAGGGTTTAGGGGTTTAGGGTTCAGGCTTTAGGGTTTAGGGTTTTGGTTTAGGGTTCAGGGTTTAGGGTTTAGGGATCAGGGGGCTTAGAAGCTGCTTTGTACGGCTTTAGAAAGAAGGTTTTTACAAGGTTTCATGAGGCTCTTGTGGGGGTTTAGAAGGATCTTTACGGTTTCGGATTCAGTGTACGTGATTTAGAACTGCAACTAGGGTTGTGGGTCCCCTCACTAATCAATCGCTTCCCCTGAATATCAAACCGGGGGCCCCAAGTAAAGCCTCGAACTGTATTTCTACTGTCAGCCTTTGTTACAATCTTTGCTGTCATTTCAGTTTGGGGCCTTTTGGGGGGATCTGGCTCCTGCTCCTGCTCCCCCTGCGGCTCTTGCTCTTGCTGCTGCTCTTGCTGCCCCTGCTCGTGCTCTTGCTCCTGCTTC